TCATTGAACCAAGTGTCTGGAATGAGAAAGATTTCAATCACGATGAAAATTCAAAGCTTTGCAAAGTCCAAACTTTAAAAGTTTGCTTGGACAAAATTGCTTCGGAAATTTCAAGGTCCAGAGCTGCACTAGAGAGGGAACGCTGCCGAAGCGTGGCGGGAGCGGGAAAGCTACGGTGGATCAGAAGCTGTGAGACCCAGCGGGGCCCGTGCCAGAGCTGGCTTTTGGGAGTGTGTCTATCGCAAGCCCTGGTCGGCCCATGACACTCTCTCTTCCCTCCTCTCAAGTCTTAAACCTAGGCTCGCTAGCTAATTTCGTCACTTTCGGTCTTGCCAGTGAGATTTGATTGCGAACCTTTCATGCGTCGGAGAAGGGGTGAGACAAACGATGCTTCAGCTGTAGAGACCAAGATCACTCTTGTAGTACCAAGATGTTAGCGACCACATGTACCAGGGGTATTCTGTCAATGTCTAGGTTTCTGGCTTTCCGCGCAACTTCCGGGCCCTGCCAAAATGGTCGATTTTGTCTGGTGCCGACCGTCGATACCACAGGCAGTTTGAAATTTCCAAATGTCTTTGATGGCGGTCAGTAAATTCATGCATTAGAAAAGGTTCATACAAGGATCGGCATCAGAACTGGGTTTAGCTGTTTAGCCTCGCACTAGACCCGATTAAGTTCTCAGCGGCGCAATGTGCCATCCTCGCCCATATTTGGTCTAGCCGTTCCTGAATTCTCCAGTAGTACAGCGCTCAGATCCAAAAGGAAAGGAAAAGCCAGACCATAATATCTAAATTTCTATGAAATCAGGAGTGCATTATTTCACGCCGAGAAATTCAGTTAATATCATGGAGTCAAGCGAAGGTTGGAAGCTCGCAAAGAAAGAAAAGGAATGAGTAAAGCCGGCCGATTAATATATCAGCATGTTAGGTGTAAGTTTGTCCTTCTTTGCAAGTCCATCTGTGTTCTGATAGTCCTTCAAACCAAATAGATAGCGCAGGTGTGCTCCAGGAGAAGGCTCGTCGCCCTATCGCTATTAGAGCTGGTATGGAACCAAAGGTGACCAAAATACCAGGCAAATCCGGTGGCGGCTGGTGCCCGTGCGAGGTGAAGTCCGTGTGATTACTCGGGCGAAATTAGCCCTTTTACCGTACAAGGGAGGTCTAGCATCGCGCCTTGCTAAGTGCGAAATTCAGAGTGGTATCTATACGGAATCATCGCTGCCTACTTGACGTCAGAGGACTCCCTCTGTTAGTAGGACCAGCCGCCCCCCAAGGCTTGAATAAGCCAACACCTCAGGAAAAGAAATAAAAGTATCTTCCCGACCTATAAATGTCTTGAAGCTTATCTCTAAAGCAAGAATTAGACCCGATTTTCCCAGAAAAGAAAGCGTGACTGGGAAAAAGGGAAATATCGATAATGGTCGCTCATTTTGAGACTCGTGCTGTGCGCCCAGTACCATCGGTCCATCGCACACCGCTCTATCAGGAGCGACCACCGACGACAAGGTCTCACGCTCTATGGAGGATTGTCGATAAGGGAACCAAGTAGCGGGCCAAACTGCCTGGCCCGGTCTAGAAGATGGAGATATGTAATGAAGGAAGAAGGAGCAACGTTCGTCCCACCCCTTTCGAACTAGGAAGAGCAAAGTCTTGACGCGTGGAAACCGGAATCACATCTGACTAGGAAGACCCAAAGTACTAGTATCAGCTGGCGCGTCTATAATACCGAGAATTGTGAGGGAGAAGAATAGCCTTATTGGCCGAGCAGGGCTCGCGATACATCACAGAAGACTGTTATGGAATCGGATTCGCCGAGAACATATCATTATTGTTTGCATGGCATGTGATTCTGCCACTCACCACAGTCCATAGCTTAGGTAGAATCTCTCCCCCTCAGCAATCTCACTCCTCATCCCTCTCACACATCGATACTGCTGCCCCTAGCGTAGCCGTATCTCATCAATTATCATTGCCACTAATGCGCCCACCGCGGGTCGTATGGCTTACTAGCAAAGAGCGAGACAAGTCTTGTAACATCTGCATCTATGTTGCGGCAATACCTACGGCTAGTCCACGTTCGAGAGCTCACTCTCAAGCTTCATCCACCACAAACTTACCTGGGGCTGCTGCAGATTGCCATCCAAATTTTCATCTTCTTCTCAACAGATTAGCACTAGGAGCATAGTTGGTGTTGTGGGCCCCAACCGACATGAAAGATCCACACTTTCAACCCGACCTCTGTATGAGCAGATAGAAGATCCTCAGTAAGTACCCAACATCTTTACCGGAAGATTCACATCTACGTAAAGTGAAAGCACTGAAAAAGGGGGGAAGGCTTTCCCGGGCCGCTTAGGCCACTGCGCGACGGATCGCTGAGCCACTATACAGAGTGGTACGTGCTTCTAGCGACTAGTCGTGTGCTAGTATGTGCTATTTTGTGCTTGAACCTCCGATGGTAGGATCTGATGTCAGCGTGGGTGGACCAGCAGTTGATAAGCCGTTGTAGTACCGGCGTTGTGGCAGGAAATTGCAGTCGTCTGGTGCAAGGCGCTAACACTTGATTTCTTTCCTAGGCTTTATACAGTGCCCAAAGATTTCTTCATCAAATGGGAAATCAGCCCTCCTGCTTTTTCTTCTCATCGTTCCCATGTTTGAAAGGGCATTATACAATTAGCTAATCCACGAAGACGAGGTCTAGGCTCTAGCAAGGTTATTCGGGGCTTGATCGCGGCCGGAAAGCACTAATAACACTCCCATACTAATCTAAGGCCGTGGCGACAATTTCACCCGAGCAGAGAAAGCTAACGCCGTGAGAAGATTCAGAGGCAGCAACTTTCAGAAGCCCGAGGTCATGTGTTGATCCTGACGTTTGAGCTCACGGGCGGCTCAGAGGAGAGTGTTGGCGACGACACAAAAGCTGGGTATGAATACACGAATGAGAAATGAGCCGCGCCCAATGATGCGCCCCTTGCCGGTTAATAATTTTTGACTTGCTCGATGCGGATGCTCATATCTCAAACTACTCCTTTATATAATTCGAAACATTTTAGCGAGGACCTTCGCACATAAATATATTCATAATCACGCGCATCAAGTATTGTTCTCGAAGATCATTTTTCAATCGAAATGTTCACCAAAGTACCCGCTCATAGCGGAGGCAAAGGTATGTCCATGCCATGCACTTGTGGCATTTCACTTTTCTCCTACAAGATGAAAAGCTAAGACGTCGTCCTCTTGAGGTATTGGAACAATTTTCATGTTCATCTTTGAGCTCAGAACAGACATTGATGGACGACTTTGCAGTATCCCCAGATATGCAAATTGTAGGAAATGAAGAAAATCTGCAGGAGACAGCAATATGTTGGCGGCCCAAGGAGCTTTTGGGTCAAATACACCCGCCGCAATCACTTTTCTTCGAATGTTGTCTCTTCAACGAGACATTTGCCCAACTGAATGGATTGGAACCGCCTTCGCAACAACATGCCTTATTGGATTCAAAGTTCAGGAGGCTCAGTCAGTCTCAGATTTTGGGAGAGGCTCCTGGAGAAATTGCGAGGAAGCTATACGAAAGCAGCTTGGAGGAGTTCAGGAACGTTCCCTATAACGAGTTTATACGGGAAGCTTGTGGCGTTTCGTCTGACTTTATTGACGCCTTCTTGTTCGAATACAAACGCCTAGAGGTAAAAATGTACTCTGCTTTCATAAGAGCACCAGTCGACCGGCTATCTGATATATTGAAGGTAGGCCACCTTAACTATCGTTGCCGAATGTGCCCTGAAATGAAATCTTCTCATATCATGCAGGAACTTGAAGAACACAAGGCGGACCCTTTCGTGTACGCCGCAAGTGAACACTCCCTAGAAAGAGCGAAATCACAAAAAAATGGACGGCTTGGCTTCAAATTTGTCAAGGCACAAGATCTTACGCAAAGACTTGATTCGCAACTAAGGAAATCATTCCATCTTATCACCAAGCCCTTCACAGAGCTCCTGTACAAGCCCGATACCGCCCAAAATATCCTGGAAGAACTCGAGGTTTTGAGAACTCGATTCTATGACTTCTACATGCCTCTTAATGTCCACTGGAATTACCCACTGCATACCAAAACGACTTGTTATTTGATGGGTGAATATCCCTACGATGGCCAGAGCTATCTCCAAAAAGGCCAAAGCTTCGTTTTCCAAGTACCTTTGGTGTGCTTTCACAAGAGAGGGTGGCGTGGCGCGGTCTATTCTGAACAAGCAAGGAATAGAACCTTCTTGGTCAAGGAGTGCAGGAAATGGTGGCTGCAAATATCGGTGTCTGTTTTCGAATTGGCGGCCTTGCGAATGCGATCCAGAGCATTGCCCCTATGTATGGACATTGCTGTTGATTGCTAAGATCTTTGAGAGTGCCTACACCGGTTTCGCAATTATTACTCTCTGACAGCTGTCATCCAGGGTATACAAGCAAGTGGCTACAGGACTGTGGCCCTAGAAACTTTCGGCTACCCCCTCAATCCAAATGACGATTACAGACATTACCTGATGAAAATGAAAATGAAGGGTGCACTGCATTTCCTCTTCCCTTCCCTACTTCAATATCAACGGGGCGAGCCAATGTTCACGGAGATGGCTGTTTGCACGGCATGTGCCACTCACCACAGTCCATAGCTTAGGTAGAATCTCTCCCCTTCAGCAATCTCACTCCTCATCCCTCTGACACATCGATACTGCTGCCCCTACCGTAGCCGTATCTCATCAATGGCCATTGACGCATTCAAATTCTACGCACTGGACGCTTATCAGCCAACACCTGGAATGCGATTCAGCCCATTTGATATTGCAACAACTGCTATGAAGGCTACCTGCTATAAGGGTTACAGCGGGCCATCGCTTAAATGTCCTTTTTTCAGTTGCGTCTTTGTTGCGTTTTGGTTATAAACTGTAATTTCTATTCCCTGCTGCTTTATACTGTTACATTTCTTTTGCAACCTAATGAGTTCCCAATGTCCACATAAGACTAGGAGTGGGGGGTAATCCGAGCAGCAGGTATGGAAGGAGCGCAGAACATCACTATACTAAAGCGCGGCACACAGGATTCTGTACAGCTTTCGGGGCTGGGCGCACGTACTCTGTGTACGGAAGCTCGAACTCGGTCTTGCCCGATTAAGTTTTGTAGTCTTATACCCGCGAAGACGACCACCTCAGTCATATCGCTCCCTGGTAGGGACTGGTAGGATGCCTCCGACCCGACATCTTCGCTGCCTCGTTTTTCAGTGGTTTCGAGATCAGCAACCCCCAAGCCGTCGTCTTTACCATGAGTCCGGAATAGAATCGTCAATGTGCCGCTGTCCTTATGCGACGGACTCAGATACTCGCTGCGGTCGGAAAGACAGCGAAAGGGGTCATAGTAGTGGACGCCAACAGTAGTCGAATTGAGAGCCGAGTCACCCGTTAGAGTAACATCATCTTTTGCGGGTGATTGCGACAGAACTTGCGACAAAGTATTCAACAAATCCAGCCTGATTGGGGCCAACTCCTTGGAAAGAAGTGAAAATCAGTATACTGAAAGATTAGAGAGAGATTGAAGAGAAATAGACTTACTGTATTTAAGGCTTTGACTGAAAGAAACAGGTTGTCTGACGGACCCTTGGAATACTTTGGTTCGACGTCATTTCGGAAATAATAGGCGCTTTCTTTATATATCGCAGTCTTCCCACGAACGCGCTCTGACGCAAATGCAGAGTATTTCGTCGCATTCATCTTAGTAGCCACTGGCTGTTAGAAAAATTTTCAGCCTGAAAGTGCGTTAGTGATGGGTACCAATGTTGGACAATAAGCTTAACCTACCTTTTGGACGACAGTTTTGTAATTGCGTTGTGTGGTGTCAGGAGCTGCTAAGCGGAAGGCTCCAAACCGATAGAGCGAAGCTCTCAGCTCTGAGGACAATACATTCGAGATTGGCACGAATGGATAAATCAAAGGTAGTCTCGCACACGTCTTGATGTTCGTAGTGATGGTTTAGGGGGGGGGGACTGTGAGGACTTTGATTAGTTGATTGACTGCCCGATGATTCAACGTCAGCCGGCAGGCCACATGGCACGTGCTCGCTAGCTCCCAAGGGTACGGGTACTAGGCGGAATTAGCGGAAATTGCTTGTCGGATCTTAAAGTGTAATGTCGTTGATTCGTTGGCCATATCAGACAGAAATAGATACGAACAGCGGGTGTATCTTCTCCTCTGAGTTTCGAGCACTCAGCTTGTCAAATCAGAATCGAGGATAGTGGATCCGGACTGAATCTGATTTTGAGGGCCAGCCAACGGGAGTCATAAAGATGCGGATAGAATCTCTCCAAAGGAACTACAGTCGAGTAGTTACTGCCAGTGCTAGCGTTTTCATCTGGAGAATTTCGATGCTATTCGCGGAAGATCCGAGGGCCATAACTGAAGGCTATATATAGCCCAGACGAAGTTTGCAAGTAGCCTGTACCTATGGTAGAGATTTTACTGCCTCTGGGCCAGAGAATTTACGGTAGAGCGCACTTGTTACGGCAGTGCGGAGCGCTACAGCTGTCCCCCAGGGTGTCTTTGACCATCTCAACTTGAGTACGATGGTGCAAATGTATGGTCGATTACGCATCAGCCAGGGTCCATCATAACAATGCGTGTGATGTTGAATTTTGGTTTTTATCAAGGATACAGCCTTCGTAGAGTCGACTGGAACGGAGGCCATCTGAAACTTTTCAATGAGGAAGATTTACCAGGATATAGGGGCGAATACCTACCGTAAGAGAACAATTGAACCAAATATTTGGGCTAGAAAAAATTTTAGCCGCGATAGAACTTCTGGTACTATCCCAAAGCCGGGCTGAAAAACATAGTTACTCCGAAAATGTCAGAGTCGGAGATGCATTAGCATCAGAGAAGACAGGTAGGTAGCGCTGCCGAAGCGTGGCGGGAGCGGGTAAAAGTACAGTGGGTCAGAAGCGGTGAAAAGCAGAGGGGCCCGTGCCAGAGTTGAAACGTGGTCATTGCACGGTTCCAGAGGACCCCGCTCGCATGGAGACACAACGTCGTACGGATCTAGTAGCACGAATCATCTACACTGTACTTGGGAACAGTGGTTACCATGTTCGATTACAGAGAATGTCACCCACGCAACATACGGGCGGACCTCATTTCTGTCGCCTAGCTCTACACTCCGGCCGTGAGAGATTGCTTCAGATAGAGGGGTGTCTCAATGTCGCGAGTCTCAAAACGTGAGCGTCCTGTGCGTCCATTGTCAACAGTCACCTGTTTCACAGTCTCGTTTTTCTTCCATCGAACTTCAGTGTCACTATTATTTCAGTGTTTAATCATATAAATAAAAGACCAAGAAGGTGTCTCTCTCTCTTTCCTTAAGTCTTTGAGGGATGGTGAGGAACGGGAGGGAAGGATTTTACTAGCCCAGGGAATCTCGAACGTCATCGAAGTAGGCGACAGCCCTTCTAAATAGGTGTCCCCCTGAGGCTCATTTACTGGGAGATGCGGTGCTAGGCTGTTCCCGTAAGGCAAAGCGGCTATTCCCGTCCAAATAATCACACGTAGTCCGCCACACACGGGCACCAGCCGCCACCGTATCTGCTTGGTAGTATGGTCACCCCCCATCCCCATACCAGTATATGTAGCTAGGCTTCGTAGGGTAACAGGTGGACAATAAACAGTATTGAGTCTCCCAGGCAGTGCCTACCGGATAACCGCGCAATGCCACATAGTTAATTACTCCGCTATCATTTATTATTATTGAGATCTATACTTCAAATAATCATTCTTAAGCAGAATTCGCCTATGAAGCTATGTCGCATCGGGTCTTTTTACCACAATAGCAATGCCGGCGGGTTTGGCCTTTTCGATTATATACATAATTGGACAGATACCTGGCAAGTACGGTGTGTATTTTGTACCCGGCTTGTTGCCTTATTATCGGCAGACACATTCTGGGAGCTATATGCTATATACCGAGTGTCATACCGATCAACGCTACCACAATCCTTCAATCAACTACGTCTGCCTAGGTACCCACGGCTGTCCGATGATGACAAATCGAAGATTTTTCAGGCATGAAATTTAGCTCAGCTGGCACGGCCTGGATCCTCCTCTAAGCCAGTAAAACTTTCGTGTTCGTCTTAATACCGGTAATAGTTTCCACGGGTACTTGAAGATCATAAACCATTCATGACGGTGATTGATAAATCCATGGTTTGGGGTTGACTTACTGTCATGGTGGAGATTCAAACAAAACCCCACTAGTCAATTGGGTTCAGCCTTGCACTAGGCCCCATTAAGCCCTCATCGGCGCAAGGTGCCATTCTTGCCCGTGTTTAGTCTAGCGTTCCTGCATACTCCTGTAGTACAGCGCCTAGATCCAAAAGAAACAAGAGAAAAGCAAAAGCCAAATTGCAATATCTGAATATCTCTAAAGTAAAGGTCTCATTATCTCACGCCAGAAAATCTAAATAATATTGTGTCTTTTAGCGAAGGGGTGGGAACCTCGACGAAAAAGACACGGAAGGACTTACGCCGGCAAATTAATCTATCAGCATGTGAGGCGTTAATTCGTCCTTCTTTACAAGTCCATGTTTGTTGTGATAGTTACCCAAAGGACATCAATAGCGCGAGTGTGTCTTTTCCATGAGAAGATTTGTTGTTTTATCGTCAATCGAGCTAGAGACTAATCGAAATGATGCTAGTGGCGTAGTATTATTTCCTAGACATGCAGACCTTTCTCTCCGCACCCATCATATCACAGGGATCACAGCCGGTTTCTATCTGTAGTGGGCGCAGTAGATGTCCCACTCACCGGCATTAGATCTGTCTGGCCTGTCAGCATTGTCTGATCCGGGAAAAAGCCCAGGTCTGCTGGGAACACCAGCACAAGGTGGCCTGGCAGATAAAGAACCGTTCCAGGATCCAAAAACAGGTAATGTATCCCAAATGTCAGGAAATAAGCGCCAAGAAGAAAGTAAGACCAACCCTGCAAAGTACGTACATGTCCGCATCCACACCCTGAAAAGCGGATCGAGCTTGATTCGTGGGGACTTTCCTGCATGGTTCTCTTATGACTACTTGGAAAACACAACAATTTCTCTTGCCATCCGCCTCATTCAAATTTTCAATGTCGACTTCTCACAAGGTTACCCTCGAAGTCTGGTGAGGCCTGCTTTGAAAACTCTAATTTTTTCACAGTAAAAGTCCTGGTTCCCTACCTTACTTTCGAAGTCTGGTCAAGACAGCGATCATTCTGTGTCTGAACAGGCCGTGCTTAGGCCTGACCAAGCCTAGGAACAAAACCGAACGGCGTGAAACTTGCAGTCGTACTCGGCTTGATATTAAAACGCCCGCGGATTATCAATCGCTGTCTTTAGATTCCGCATAAATCTTTTGAAATTCGCCCATCTGTGTGATAAAGTGCAAACTCATGCCGCGACGGCACTAGGCTATTCAGCCAATCTGTCTGGTGAACCTCATGGTTGTGAAAGCGAGATGGATAGGATAAAGCAGACTATCCAAATACTACACCCAACTATCAAAAGCTTGGCTTACTCAGTCGCAAGAATAGTCCGCATCGGCATTTCCTTGGACTTCCGCGAGACTTCCTCTGTTCGACGACGACCTTGGGTTGGACTTTCTACCTTTACATGCCCAACACCTGCGATTCCCTCCCACATGGGCCTCCGTAGCCAGCGGTCCGCCTTCATCGTCACACAGGAAACACAGCCCCGGTGTTCGACCACACCTTCCCAATGTACTTCAATGCGATATTCGCACGTCCCGCCTCGTCTCCGGAATATCCTCCTTAGTAAGAGTGATGTATGATTAGATCTGCCGACTTCGACCTCGGTCATTTGCCGTAGCCACCCCCACCCTCTCCTGCACGAGCATCAGCGAGTGCATAAGCACACTTCACAGTGGGCTGAGAAAATGAACAGTTCACAAGAAACAAAAGGTGTATGCACGAAGCCTTCACCACGTGAACAAGCTGCCAGCGAAAGGGTTGAAACAATAAAAAATATGGAGTATGATCACCTGAGAGTTTGATGCGATCATAATCCGCTGGGAATCAAGATTATCGCGAGTCATCAATGAGCATTTTATGATGCGAGTTTCAAAATTTGGCTACGGGTTCTGCAGCGGAATCGAGGCACAGCAGTCAAAGACACTGAAATCTACAGCGAGACATCACTGGCAGAAGATCGAGATAGGTGACGAAGATGTGGTCGTGCGTGAGGGCGAGATAAACTAACAAGCAGCCCAGCGTGTTAGAGAACGTAGAAAAGAGATCGAATACTACCCACTCACTCCGATATCGAACCAACTCTAAAAGCTGCACCGATGCAGTTTGTGTCTTCACTGATATTGAACTCGAGGCTGTTCCCAACTTGGGTGTCTGTTCTCGATATCATGTTCCGGTCTATTGGTCGTGGTGAAGGTAGTCTCTGTAACGAGTCTTGCGAACCATTTACCCCCTCAAAGCCGTGCTTGAAGAAAACCATTCCCGTTCGATAATTATTTCTCCCGCCCGGCAAGAGACGAATCACCTGTTTATCCCGGCCGTGATTCATTTTTGCTTGACGTTGAATCTCGTCCTGTTGGGCATCAAGTCGCTACTCCAGCCGCATGTGGTTTCGCTTGCGTCCACGAAAGCTCCTAGCAGCGTCGCTATTGGCTTTTCGTTTTCTGGCTTGCTGAGAAGTGCCCGATTTTAGATCCAACAAGCATGGAATCATATCTTGTCTTCCGGGCTCTCTTCCTGCCGAATTGTGACGAGGTGGCAATGTTGCAGACATTGTTTGTACCAGTTGCTTAGGTGTTGCGTAATCCAAGGATGCTGATGTATACTTTGTCGCAGTTCGAGACGGTATTGGAACAGTTGGGACCACAGGGAAAGTGGTGTTCCCAGCATGGCTGACCATTAACTGTGGCGTTGATGATGTCGTCCTGAGTGATTGAGGATGGCCCAGTGGGGTGGTATAGCTGCTCATGTATCCTGGAATAACGTTGGATGATAAATGAAGTGAGCATACAGTCCAGGGTTTCAGGACTGGTGATAAGACGGGAGCTCCCATTGCTGTAGTGTACACCATTGGTGAGCCGATGAAAGATGGTAAGGGGGGCTGCTACTGACCGAGGTTCATCAAGGGCTCTCGGCACAGAAATGAAGATTCAGTTGTCTTCATGTGGGCGAATACCGTTGTCTCCACTAGGGAAGAGCAGCCAGAACGCGGTAATTCAGTAAAACCTCTGAAAAGTTTTGACATAAGCAACAAAAGCTGAGGTGCTCGCAACATCGATGCCCGAGGTACGGCAGACGAGCCTTATCTAGGTTCGATGGAGGGCCGCGCGGAGGTGGAAGACAAGCTAGCTTGAGATACTACCCCGACGGAAATGGGCTTCTCCAGAGCAGTCATGCCTCGTACCGGCGGGTTCAAAATTGCACGCAAGCGGTACGAGAAGGTGTACACTGGAGGTTCAACTGGCTCGCAAAGATGCCGCGTTTGAGGTTGCGACCCGGGAGATGGTTGACGAGCCGGATGAGGAGAGCTCAAGTATGTCTCTTTTGCTGCGCTCCGATTACACACCCCAAGCTCTGCCAATCGATTGATGGACAATATTTCTGCGACGGTGAATATGAGTTAGATGCTTGAGTGAGTACCAAGGAAGAGTATGACCGAGTTGGACCCCGTCTCAAAAGACCAGAGGCCCCGTGAGACGGGATTAGATAAGAAACAGCCTTGCAAATAGCCCAATCTCTTTACAAAAGCCTCGACATCAGTGGCAAGATTCTAGGCCCAAACTCGGTTAAGTACGTATATTCAGGGGTCGTTAGAAAAATCGAGGGCTTTCAACATTGGGGGATACTCTTAGCTATGTGATATCAGGGTTAAGTCTCGAATCAAGCAACATCACAACTTTCACCGGGTTAATAGACTCAATCAAGATCTAGGCAGAGCACAAATGCGCAAGCTTGGTAGTTTCAGTTGAGGTCAGATCTCGCAAAGCCACTGCATGGCACAGATGCATCTTGGGCCGCCGCTTAATCAACCGCCCATGAAAAGCACGTATCAACAACTCGGGTCCTTTTTAGTGCCAATACGTCTTCCCTGTTATCATCTATCTCCTTATCTCCAAGAGCAATCTATTTCTTCTTTCTACTGCATTCCTATATCGGATATGTGGTTCCTTCAGCAGACTACCCCAATCACCGATCATGGGCAAGCTGTCGACTCCTCCAACATGTCGAGTATCATACAATGCAGCTCTTCTAATACAAAAGCTCTGCCTTCAAGCGATGCACAAAGAAGATACTAGTCCCTCGATCCTTCAATCCCAGTTGCACCTCGATTTTTCTGTATTTATATGCTATAAAATATATATATGGTGGCATTTGGATCGTACCCATCGTTTTAAATTTATGCTGAAAACATTGGTTGTGCAGTTGTCCTTTGCTTGGGATCTCACTGATGTCGGATGGGTTCGCCAAGAGAGTGCCCCTGAACCTCAGACGGGATACGGCAATGACACCTGATAACAGGTATGATGAGTCAGGCGCCTCATTTGCAGACAGTGCGGTGGCGAAGCAGGAGTCACCTACGGCCGATCGACGTATTAGTTCATTCCTCATGTCGTATTGTATATCAATATGCATTTTCCTCTCCTTCGATCTTCGCCTGTAAACACTCTTTCCTGCCAAATATCCGTATTCCACACTACATTACTACCTCACTGCCCTTCAGCTACATCTGATATAATGTCCGGCCTCCCATTTTCAGGATGCCGGGCTATCATTGACGGTATGTGATTGTGCAACCTCATATATATAGAGTGTTTTTCAGCTAAGGGTCAGAAGATTCTATAATGCTGCCCAGAGTACTCGTGAGCGCGTGGATACAAGAATTCGGTCAAAAAAGCTTCGATGTCACCAAAAATGAAATCGGCGACTACTGGACTGCCATTTCTGATGGCCTTCAGCCTAAGATACCAGGAGAGGTATCTCGGCGATTTAGTCATCAGAATTTCGCACAAACCGACCTCGGAAAATACGTTCTGATTACAGTTCTTACTGGCCGCGAAGTCAATTCTTCCAGATTTTTCAATGGATCGGGTGCTCTTGCGTGCGAACACACTACTGTTTTGATTGAAATGGTCTACGTTAACTCTGATCTTCCGGACGGAAATATTTTGATTTCCTTGAAAGCGACCATTGGGGGGACGCAGGAATGTGGCAAAGAACTCCCGATTTTTGTAACCAACACGATCGATTTCATTTTTAAATTGCTTTACTAAGCAAAACCTGATTGATTTGGTGCCTGGAGTGTATCCTTTGAGGCCTTTTGACAGGCTTGTTGTGTATCGGATTAGACATAGAAATTGCATATCGGTTCGACACTACACTGCCCTGCAAAGTAAAACTTGGATGGCCGTATGAGGAGAAACTCATCAGAGAGATTGACTAGATCTTCTATAAACAGGCGTTCCTTTCCTTGCAAACGCGATACTGCTGTGGTCACATCTGTTTACGGAGCAATATCCAGGATTATGTGTAGATGGCTGGGGCCCTCGCAACCATGTAACAGCGGGATATATCCGGAGAAGGATCTCTTTCTCAAAATTGGTGTCGGACTGGTGTGAAACCTATTGACGTATTTCAATAGCTAAACTGATTGCCTTTCTGGACTGCTCGAATTATTCAGAAATTCGGCCCAGAGTTTCCCCAGACAGTTCACTGGACTGATCGTCCTCTTCTTTTGGAGAGTGAACACCAATTAAACTTATTTTCTTTAGGTGAGTGTCAAATGCAGTCGATTGGAAAGTTCCTAAAATAAGTATCCAGCGATTGGAGTCTGCCTCAGTTGAAGTTTACCTTGATCACGCACACAATATGTCCGACTTCAGCGATCATTTCAGCCCGCTGCATCTGGACAACGAATTCATTACCTAGCAAAAGTCGACGACGACTTAGCGTTTGAGGAGAAGGAATATCCAGCTTGAATCAACACAGAAAAAATCGAAAGGCATCGCTCTTGGCTAATCTTGCCGGGGTTGACCTTCCCGAGGATGCCATACTGCGTTGATGGACGAGGCTTGACGAGCCGCTGTACACGTGATTGTTATTTGATTGAGGATCTTACGAAGGAAAACCCTTGAAGGTGAAAACACTCGACGTTGAAGAGAGAAGGAAGAAGGAAGCTAAGCTAGACTACTGAGGTTGGTGGTCCCAGGTGGTGAGGGCGTAGCCCATGTGTGTGCCAGACAGTATGGCAGGCCTCACCACAAACAATTGTACACCCCTCGAGTCCATTCCAACAGGAGTCCGTCGTGGCTCATAAGAAATGGGATGCTGATGTGTTTGGGACAAATTTTTCGACTGGCAGTGGGTGTCGACTACGGGATTTTCCACAATGCCTGAATTGCCGCGGCGTGGCGGCGGTATCTAGGGCTAGGGCTCTGTCGGTGGACCGGCTATGATTTTGTGATTGAGATCTCTAGGCCAGAGAGGGAGGGTGATGATGCGGTCTCATGGCAAAAAGAGACTGGGTTGGTAGAACCCGGTCGTAAAACATCATATGTCCACGATAACCACAATTATCGAGGAAATAAAAGGCACGCGAGAGAGAGAAGCAATGTGTCTGAATCGTACCTGGACAGCACCATCGACACAACTCATCTTCTAAATCTTTCCGACCGGTTTCCTCATCATGGAGTTGCAAGAGAGCAAAATCGTATTGGATGCCCTTTCTGCAGCTTACTTCAATACAGAGCAATTAAGGAAGAACAAGATCGAAGTCGATCTGTGCCCGCGAGTCAGTGACAGCTTACCCATAACGGAACTCAGAGACGTGACACAATGACAGACGTTGCCTCCAATCACCCCTTCTATCAATACGCTCTCAAACGTATACCACAGGGTGGGAACTGCAACAGATTGAGTTCCGAGTCCCCCATGCAGTAAACTCACAAGGAAGGAACCCGACTCCCCCATTCACGCATCAGCAAATAAATCCAACCCTTGAGCGTCTAGCCCGGCTTTTGTCGATGAGATTGACAATTTTCAATCTGAAGGATGCAATCTGACAGGTGCTGAGATTGACAGACTGCAGCATGCCGATCGGCCAATTTTCTTGGAGTCAGGCCCAGATACAACCCTAATCTACCCTACTTGTGGGAATCATCCAAGCACTTATTATTTCTGTTACTAAAAGAGTTTCTGGAAAATAAGCTCAAGATGATAAGGTACAATGTGCAGCGGGTAAGGAGGCTTCCATGTATTTTCTATTTATCTGCTTTCCAAAGAACCTAATGTAAGTGCTATAAGGCAGCGCACGGTAACCTGATTCATTCAGAGTAGCACGCCTAGTCTAGTCTAGATATCGTTCACTAATGCCACAGATTCACCTGACGTCTGTGTTGCTTGTGGGTGGACATCAAAGAATAAGAACGACGTCCTTATTCGAGGCATGTAATTATATTGAAAGAGCACCCCGATGAAGGTCCCAAAATTGAAGGGAGTACTCTTTGCCCCTTGAAACTTATCTTGGTTTGTATGACATGTGATTTTGCCACTGCCACTCACCACAGTCAATAGCTTAGGTAGAATCTCTCCCCTACAGCAATCTCACTTCTCATCCCTCTCTCACATCGTGCAGCTGCCCCTACCGTAGCTGCATTCCATCAATCTTGCAATTCCAGCTCTAAGAATAACGACCGGCTGACTGAAAGGTCACAGGCAATAGTCTGTCCTTCAACAACAGATGCGAGAACATACGCTTTTGCAGGCCTGGTCTTCCTTGTCAGCGTTCCAGAAAATGGCTAATGCTGATTAGGGTTTCAAAATCCAAGATCAATTATTATCTATCACCTCGAACTCCTAGTCCATACAAAGTGTTGATCAAAGCCATTGTTACCCGGAACTCTTACTTCTTGGCCGCCGCAAGCCTAACGGGCTTTACGATTCCGACCTTGAACTTTGGCGTACCATACAGGCTAATCTCCACAATCCACCTAAGAGACAATGTTCTCGACAAGCATTGGAGAGCCTAGCTTCAAATTCTATATTTGCAAGCATAGCATTCTCCGCTGCTAGCTAGAGAGGTCGGGTTCATGGTTAAAGATCCTGATAAAAACCTCGCATAAAATTTGAGCATTAGCACGTAGAGTGGGTGACGCGATTTGTCGTCGGCGTAAGAGTCTGATGGTATGTAGGAGGAGACGCTTGAGCGTGTCGCGGTCCACGAGATCGGAAAGGCCGGAGAGGTTGGCGTTATACGTCGCGGAGAGAACGAGCATGTTGCCGCATTGTCTTGCACATTATAACTGTCAGCATTTCGGATTTATAGCACTCGTTCCAAACGGAGGACGCGAACATGCGGAAGAAGACCATCATAAGCAACAACTTACGTTTGAGCAATACCAAAGTAATTCGTCAAGATTAGCCTGTCCTTGACACCGTCAAATGCAGTTGAACTATGGATAGCCGATTGAATGCAAGCCCTGCTTGCTAGTAAGGTCGTCGAAAATACTTCTGTGGATTCAACGACAGCCGTGGGATTCGACTGTACGCGCACTTGGGCGCCACGTTGTCCGTGGTTCAGGGTGCTATAGAGCGACGGGCGATGAATCATATACCGGGCGTCGTAGTATTCAGCACGCATGCGAGCGGCATTGATTTCGGTGGCAGGTGGATCGTTGTCCTTCCAGTTCACCATACTCGGAAGATTTTCTCGCCAGAGTTCTAGGTTCGCATTGAGAGCTTCTAGTGTCTCAGACCACAACCGTCCGAGCTGCCTTTTCTTCTTCGGACGGTAAAGGTCGAAATGAACATGGTTAATAATCTTGCGGAGGTGGATCCGAGCCGAATGGATGATCAGCATACGAGCAGCTGGCGCTGTCCAGTCGTTGGAAATGTCAATTGTAAAACGACCCTTGGGTAGATGAATTTCACCTGCGTCCAAACGGGTATTGCTTGCCGGAAGGTCAAGTGCTACGAGGAGATCGCTCTCTAGCTGCACACATGTCCAGTAGGCGAAGTCGAAGAGATCCTGGGTGGGGCTCTCCGACACCCTCCCCGGGAAGCGTTTCTGTTGTCTGACCAAAGCTTGACAAATTTGTACAGCTTGGCAGATCCAGCCATGACTCTGAAGCGGATGAACCAACTGGTCGGCGTATAGAGCTGCAAGCAGCCTGGCCTGGAGATGTGGGAGCCCGATGCCTCCTTGCATCACACCCAGAATCATTGCGGCATAACCGTACAGAGCTAATCCGGGTATCACCTCATGCTTCTTCACGTGGACGTAGTCGCCTTGCATAGTAGAGATTGCATGTTTTGAGAAATCTTGTCTCTGCTCCTGAGCGGTGGAACCTGAGTTGGAGGTGTATCGAGCACTGGTCACTGAGTATGCATCATCCATAGATGGTATTAGCGGACAAGGATATTTCAATGTAAGTGGATTCGCGATCGGTTGCTGGCGATAGTCAAGAGTCTGTTCATCCGTCATTGACCCCGGTAGAAGACATTTCTGCTCGCAAAAGGCACCAATCGCAAACACCAGCAGAGTTATAGCATTATCGATATTCTGTCCTACTTCCATTGGCTGCGCGAATGCCGAACACATTTGAGCCCCTTGTAGGTCGTCGTATGACCGTCTCCGCTTCTTATCGCGACGTAGAGGATTAGCATTGAACGTTATTGATGAATCTTGTGCGCAATAGCAGCGAATAAATGCATTGGCCTTTCTCGTCAGGTCATTTTGGCACAAGAAAGGATGCAACTTGTGCATGCCGTCAAGATAGCTTTGAAGATACCGGTGAGCCGTCCTCGCGTCGAGTCTTAGAGACCCAGTCCGATCTATTTCCGCAAGACTGTCTGCAGACGAGGCAGGGCTCATAATATTGAAGGTATCATCGGGGATTGGGAGTCCAGTGGTATGTTCATAGTCTTTCTTTGGTCGGAGGGACGAGGGCAATACCGTGTCGTTTGCTGTGTATGAGTTCTCTCTCTGACCGTGTATACTGATCGGACCCCGTTGCTCCTCTAACTGGAGCACGTAGTCTCCGGCATAAGCTGTCTCTAGCAGGCACTTGATGGCTGGCCATTTTAAAAGGGTGATCTGCTCCATCGGACTAACAGGCTCTCCCTTGTGGCCGTTGCGAGCCACATCCGTCAACCTTGTCAGTGGGTTGATGACTCGGTGTATATTGCTTTCATTTAAAAGCTTAGTTAGAGTGGCCTCTTGTGATTGCAAACCTTCACTCAGGGTCTTAACGGCCTCGTCTATCTTCCTCTCGAGCGCCGAAATGCGATCCATCGCAAGTTGTGTTACTTTTCCTTGTCTGCGCATCGCGATTTAGAATGAATAATATCTGTTGAGGAGTCGGCGAGAGGCGATGACAACCATCTGGAACACGATACGTACGTGTGTGAAAAATGTTCCATGTACTCGCAAACCAACTCATTTTTCTCGCAGTGACCACAAACTGGTCGATCTTCGTCACATTTTGTTTTTCGCGATCGACACTGATTACAGGCCTGTCCGGAACCAATCAGTCAGAAAAAATCTACTGGATAATTTTCTCAGCGAGTATGTTGGCGAACCTGTTGGGCGCGAGCTACCTTGTGCCTGATGGCACCTGAGGTTGGATTGGAGAAAAGTCCAGCATCATACGGATTCAGATTTTCCGTAGATACAGGTGGGCGGTCGCACACGGGCCACGACGACGGCGGTGTAGGCAAGTAGTTCAAATTTGGACAAATCTTCGGAAGCTCTCGATTCGAGTGAGCACCGACATCACCAGTATGACAAGGAAGAGGAGTCTGGCTGTTCGAGGAGAATTGGAGTGGCAAAAGGCGAGGGTGGTTGTGGTCTGCGGATGTATGTGACAGGCGTGTGCGGGCCCATCCGGCCGTGGCGGGTAGCATCTCTTTGTATTGATAATTCAATAGGATGAGATACGGAAGGTGAGACGTGATAAAGTTATGAATTGATGGTGGAAAAAACCCAAGCTTTTATTAGAGGTCTACGGAGCCTACTTGTGGCTGGGGTGGGTGGCGGTTGCCAATCCTATAGCCTGGCTGCCTGGCTAGATCAGCTCCAAATACCAGTCAAACAGTTCTGCCACCGGTATATGCACGACGGACTATAGTAGAGAACGCCGGATCGAAATCAAGATTCTGCCGATATTTCATTCCTTGAATATCAAACCATCTCTAGTACTTATGTTATGGGAATACCCAGGTCTATTAACCAAACAAGCCAAAAGACTAGAATATACCAGAACGCATGTTCTGTCATGCCCGGGAACCCGTTACGGCTGCGGCTGGCTACGGGTTCGCACAGCCACCACGCCCGCAATCCGCCGTAACAACATACTTAAATCATTTTATTGTGAAGAATCAATCCCTCTGTGAGTGGCGGTTTTACCTGTAGAAACACCGGTATAAAATATCTCGTGTGAACTTGAAGGGAGCCTTTCCGTTTTATAGGCTAATCATTTCGCAAATAAACCCATCTAAACGTCCTTGTTCTGCGAGTTGGACGTGCTTCGCCCTTGTTCGCTTCAACCTGTGTAATATACTCTTGCAGGGTGCATAAGACTGCAAATTTTTAAGGACCATCACCTCCTTGAAGAACGCGCCATATGAGTTGAGTCATGATGAATTAACAAATTGCTGGCCAAAAACTCCTTGGAAATCAAGTAAAGTGTCTCTGATCCTTTGCATATGTCATGAGTTCCAAGCCCAACGTCCCTTTTGCCTGCGCACTGGACAGGCTGCCATGCACTACGGGATCCACACATCCCAAGTCACTGAGCTTACTTTACCCCGCTCTAGTCCAATATTGATCAACAATTGGGTATTTTGCCCGAGAATCCCTGCGTCGTAACATATTACTCAGGAGACCAGGCGAACGCTGCTCATTCTCCGTTGACTGAAGGTCTCGCCGACGCCCGGTAGGCTACTACACAAATTAGGCTGGAAGTCTTAATAAAGTATAGACTGTTTACTAAAATACTTGAGGAGAATGTTGAGATCTTAGCCCTTTCTATTAGTTATATCGTCGAACCTTAACGTTAGTTCTCCGAAGGAATCTTTCCAATGGCGGTGTGTTTCCCTAGTTGAGCGGCAGCCTAGCGCTTCTCTGGGTAGTATGAAGAGTCGCGCTATCCTCTTCTAGTCTAGTAAGCTTTGAGCTGAAGTCTCGTTGCTTCGTGGTCATGAGCGCCTGAGTCTGGCGCTCTGGAGTCTCGCAGCCTTCACCGTCTTGTTGCAAAAGTTCTGGGGCGACTTGAACTGAAACTGCATTCCAGTTTCTACTTGTAGACTATCACGTTGTACACCAATTTACTATGGTCAATAATGGAAAGCCCTTGGAATATTGATCCAACCAATTTGCTCAGAGAGATTATTTCACAGCCAGCAAATGATACTTTCGCACACTTTACCCTTCATCCGACCGGCGAACGCTTTTCAATTAATATGATGAGAAACATGGGAGAGGGCAATCAATAATTCTATGACTTAGAACGTCATCTCACCCTTTACAGAGTGGCACAAAATTCTGTTATCTTTTCAAGAACTGGGAAGGGGACTTTGATATTGCCTGGCACCTTCTTCACCCCGTCTGATCCGTCAAGATTGTCCGCCAGTGTCATCAAGTCATCAATTCAAGTGATCACTTTTTCAACCCCGATGCTATCTCCCCCGTATTCTTCTGCTTATCAGTCCCGTCTCTGGTATACAACTTGAGGCTTCTTTGCCTTGGCCATTGAATTGAATCTTGCTCCGGCGTTCGATTGAGAAAGGAAACATCTAAGATTTGTAATTTCTCAGAACTCGAAGGTCTGTATATAAAATTGAGGCAAAGGCGGCCTGCTACAGAGCTTGGTCGATCTTCCCTTGAACTCGGTCACGCCAATCGACCAACGTAAAGCTCGTGTTATTGCGGATAGCCCTCGACAGATCTTGGACCTGATATTATTGCGGAGCGAAGCGACGCTATAATGGGGCCAAATTCTCACTTCCGGCAGAATCTTTACCATTCGATTGATCTGCTGGGCGGTCTCCCTGTCCAAAACACGTGACCATTCCTTTAAAATAGCTTTACATTAATTCCCTAGAGGTGTCTATTGATTGGCTGCTTTTCCCTGTCCAAAATACGTGATATGTCCAAAACACGTGAGCTCCAATGTTGAAGAATGTCCAGGCTTCAATTACAGTTTGCTTTTGCTTTCACCACAGTGTTGCGGTCGGTGTAGAACATAAAGAATTGCGCCGGTGGCCAACGGATTAATTACAGCAGTTGCTTCACTCTGCAGTTCCTACCGAAGGGGACGAAGTGTCGCCCTAGGAACACTCGTAGTAATTATCTTCTGAGAACAATAGGTAGCTATGGAGTGACATAGTCTGATCCCCTCTCTATCGAGATTCCAGAAAAACCCTAGTCAGGATCGGTTCTTCACTATGTATTCAAGATTCCCCCATTCGGCCATTCGGCCATTCGGCTATTCAAGCTATAGAATTCTATTCGGGGATACCCGTCATCGGATAATTTTGAGATTCCCGGGCGTAGCTCGTGCATAGTCTCGTGAACGCTATGAGGCTCTGAAGAGAATATAACTGGTACTGTTCGATCTCTGTCTCGCAACCTATACAGGCAACCCGCGGTCCAGGGTACTGGATGATAATATAGAAAAAAATTAATCAATCATGTTGATGATAAAAACTGGGAAGACTTGCTTCTCGCAGAGTCACGGGTCACCTTCACATGTCCCCGGATCCTAAATATCGCTTTCAAATCAATCACATAAATCTGTACTGATTGTTGGGACTAACTAGAGCTGTTTGAAAAGATACAGAAAAATATATGCTATATAATGCTCTTGACCCTTCAAAGGAGTCGAAGAATAGCGACTGTCCAGTCAGTGGAAATACTACAAGAAGAAAAAGATGGCCAATGTCGGTTGTGGTGAAAGATTCATTGGTAGATGAGAAGGTGAAGTTATGGCCACGTGACTCATTTGGCTGCCGATCATATGAAGAAGTAGTTACTCAGGCCGAGTAAACGAGGGTATCTTTGAGCAGTGATCTCTCAAACTGAGCGTTCAGTGCTCAAAGTGAGCAAGAACAGTAGCGTGACTGTACAGGGCCTACAGTATGTATGTAGTGGTGAGGTGGGAGAGTATTCGATGGATGGTATCGGCGGTATCGACGGTATCAACTGGAGCGAACAAACATTTCATAGGAGCATGTTCCAGCAATCTCCGGAATGGATTCAATGTTATTATGGGACTAATGAATTTCGGGGTGACGGCTATTAATTATAAGATGCCAATGCAAAATTTGCACGCTAGAAATGTTTTGAAGCGTGCTTTTGCCGACCTCCCATCCTCTAATGTCAGACCTAACAGATGTTCGCAACCGTCTCTGCCTACACTCGAGTCGCGATCCGTCCAAGGTGACTTGCTGTTTCTCGCTTGTAAGCAATTGATTCAGGGGTTTGACTCGGGGTTTGTTCTACTACTACTGTGGTGATGTAATAATACCATCGCCTCTGGGACTGACCGGGAATTCGCTCGATGACCAGTAGGTAAAGCACACACATCAACCACACGTATTGCTGCCAGTCAGTAGTACGTGTCAAAATGCTACTTTCTTCGAACCATGGGTCGAGTACAGAAGTAAGCGCCGTGGTATTCTCAACCCCCCTCACTCCCAGTGCTTTTCTATTCTAGAAACTTAAGAGGTTGAACCTAATGAGAACTTTTTCGATCTTTCTGATAGAGAGTCTCTCCCCCTACGTCTCTTACGTCAGATAAAGCAAAAGCGTTTGAATTGACCATTTCAGGTACTAGCGGCCGACCGGGACGTTTTGGACCGTCCACTTCGAGGGAGAAAAGATATTCTCGATAACCATGAGTATCATTATTCACCGCTCGCACCATGGAGTCTAATTATGTTCAGCCCCGGCTATACTATATAACTAGTTCGGTACCATTCGGGGTCATTGGGTTACAGACCTGAACCACAGAGCTACGATTCCCTCAACGCCAACCTATCGGATCTTTCTGGCCAGGGCCGCAGCCTCACGCGTCTAAGTTTTCGTAAAGGATGTCGTCTGACACTTCTGCAATAAACACCTCACTCCGTTACAGTGATCTTCAAGAAGAGCTGATGATGGAGTCGGAGGCCCAAGGAAAGGGCATCATGAATAAGACGCAGACGAGGGCAACGAGAGGAAATCGGAAAAGGAAGGAACAGCAACCCACACCGGCTAGGAGATAGACTGGCCCGGGGGGGGGGCGGATGGAGCTACCTTGTCACGGCCGCGATTTACCTGCCCCCAAAGGTCCCCAGAGGTCCACAGAGTCCCACCGTTCACTGTCCACGGTCGTCGCCTCTTACCGACCGAGATAGAAGGAGATCTCCCGACGGTGTCATCTGCGATTTACATACTACTATAATAATTATAGTACAGTCTTGGAATTTGACCACGAACCGCTAATCGTAACCCTTGCGACAAGCGAATTCATCTGGGCACGGCAAACGGGAATCCACCTCTCCACTGGTGGTTGGCCCTCATTAGACGGGTCACGGGACCTATGAACCGTCGAAGTGACAATGGACACTCGTGCTGTACACGACAGAGTAGACTACTTATTTGACTGAGGATCTTACGAAGGAAAACCCTGTAAGATGAAAACACTCGACGTTGACTAGGAGAGGAGGAAGAAGGAAGCTAAGCTAGACTACTGAAGTTAGTGGTCCCAGGTGGTGAGGGCGTAGCCCATGTGTGTGCCAGGCAGTATGGCAGGCCTCACCACAAACACTACTCTGTACTCGGTACTCGGTACAGAACTATAGATACAGACGCCATACGGGCATACCGTCGGATCCACGACAATTCCCGCCTAATCACTAGTCTGCGCGGGACGACGATCAAAGACCCCCTGTGGGCCCATGTCTTCCGTGCGAGGGTCGAAAGTCCAAGCGAGTCGCCATCCCCCGTCGGAGCGCCAGTATGACACGGCACGTCGCGCAGTAATCAGTCACTTTGGCCCGCTTCACACGGATCCTTCCTTGACCATCAGTCAGGGAGTGACCTTTATGAAACAATGCGCTTATTTGGCGCGTGAACTTCACCACTGGGAGCGGTGCTGCCATCGCGTCAATCAAGCGTGCCTTGATTGTTGCAGGAATGGATGCCCGGGACAGACACGCGTTCCAAGAGTCTTGACATGCGACATCACGAGGGTTCACCGCGAGGCAAAGCGAAGGCCCACATTGGAGGGGACCGTTCCGGCTTGTAGTAGCTGCTTGATTAATCGCTCGAGAACAGATAGCAGCCACCCGCACGCTCTCGGCGGGATTGGTGCCGATTGCACCATCGACGGCCACGGCCTAATCGTGCAGCTGATGGAAAATCGACCTCGTAACGACGGTATGTCAGTACGCATGGTGCGGCATCACGAAACTGGTGTCGCCGATAAATCACAAACGCCTAAACAGCCTCTCATCCACAAGGCTCCTAGCATTCTACACCTTACTGCTACTCCTTGTGTTATTGATAGTAGCCCTACTGTGTCGGGTCACTCGTCCGCGGATGACAACGAGATGCTATTTTTTGACGACAAGGACATAGGAAAGCGTCGGATATCCTTTCCTCCTAGCTCCGTCTGTCGACAACGACCCGAGCATGGATCACAGCAAGTTCTCGTGCCCGCAGAGGAAACTATAACGTCCACAGCTCATGAACAGACCAAAAAATCCCGAGCCTCGCAGACACTGGCGGAGAAGAGAGATCAACTTTTACAAAAACATTTCGAGGCATGTACGCAATAACGGTTTCGTTTTCTTTTTCTTCCCTGCGGAACCAGGTCTGACCCCTATCTAACACACTTATAGATCTCTCGAAGCCATTCAGTATCCCGCGATCGATCCAAACGCCGTGAACCCCTTCGTGTTACCGTTCTCAAAAAGTTGGCTCAGATTCAACGAGATCGTCCTCTGCCGTCGAGACAGATACAACGGGTTTCTCTAAACTCGCGAAGCACTCACTCGCCCCCTACGTAAATTCCTGCGCAGCCTGCAATTAATAAAAAGCATAGACTTCGCCCAAGATCGCAAGTGGCCAGGAGCGGATGTCAAGGCTTGGCCTTGCGGCATTCATTTTGCAGACAAGGTTCGATGCTGCTTATAACGCCTATACTTCGACTGTCAGTCCATTCATGATACGATGTGGTCTAGATGTTCCTAAACGCTGGGAACTCGAGATCATCTTCCTCAGTTACCAGCACAGATATACAACTTCATAGCAGCAGTCTCAACCGACTAATTAGCCTTATAGCAAATACTGAGAATAGGAGGTCTTCAGAAATGAGCAGTCAGTTCGGTCATCCCCGAGATCTCGCGCGTTCGGCTCATGCATGATTTTTCCAATTTTCAAAGACTTTTCTCGCCTTTACTTTTACCTGAGCCTAAACGCACTGGTTCATCAATTTTCGTGTTTGACAAGTTTTTTCTGCCTTTGGATTAAGAGCGATAACTGTAGGAGATAGTATATTGTAGCATGACCATACTTGACGATGTAAGGTATACCTGCTTGAAGGGGAAGGAAGGGCGTGAAAAAACTCGACGATTGGCACACGCTCCTAGCGTTAGCAAGTGAGGCAGAGCGGCCGAAGAGAGGGAGAATAGCCTGACCCCCTACCATCACAAAATCTTTCTTGGTATACAGATACATGTGTAGATTACCCTGGAGAAACCCATAAGGAGGAATTTTCCGGAACCTAGTCTGGCGACGGTCCCATGGGCAGTCTTGAGGTTTTCGGAGCATTCCTCTTCTCACAATCCGGTATTTTCCATTACATGGCTACATGACTTTGAATCTTCCACTGTAAATCCAAGTTGAACTCTCAGGTCTCTTCTTGCCTTTCTCGCGAGCCGACGACGTCTCTAAGTGCTTCCTCATCTGCAGTCTCATTGAATCCTGAAAAAAGGCTGCTTGCATTGGTTTCTGCTCGCTACCTCGTTCTGGTGTTCTTGGCTATCTTTTTCAATTGCTGCTTGTCCGGCATTATCATTCAGTTTCTTGATCCAAAGAACCACACTTACCCCTGACTATCACAATATGGTGCAACAAGATGAGCATTTCTGCCTGGAATGCCTGAAGAGGTCACCCATCGACTGGATGGGAGATAAACCCCTTCAAATTAAATGCCAGCCAATTCCAGCAAACATTGAAGGCTCTCGATACGAGTATCTTGCCCTTGTGTGGATGACCCATGTCGAGTTTGAAAATGCGTTACAACCTCAGGAGCCGATACTCCCGCAAGAGCATCACCAAGCCTTGACCCAAATTGTCCGCAACCTGACCTCAAACTTCGTAGCAGCTATTGAGACCTACCAGCAGCAGGAAGTGCGGAAAGAGACCTGCATTGTCAACGTCTGCGAGAATCTCAAACCCCGAACAGCTAGGAAGAATTTCTATCAACAGGCACAGAATCTGTACGCCGAGGCGATCAAATTCCCGCGACTACGACCCGAGAACGCTGGATGGGAGATATGGGAAACTGCTATCTGCCAGTTCAATGAGGAAATGATGGTGTGGACTGAGAGGTTCGATCAGTCACAGAATGACTTTGTAGTACGAACCAAGCTGCAGGAGTGGCTGGAATGCTTTCCTTTGCCACTTAAGCCGTCGTGGGTAGAAGAGCTTGTTGCTGCCCATCCTTTGTGGAACCTGGGTGATTGGAGCCTTGATTGTAAGGGATTTCTGTGCTGGAAAAAAGAGAAGACTTCCTGATTATATGCTGGAGGACAAGATTCAACTAGCTGTGTGGTGCGTCTCGACTGTCAGACTCTGACTGATGATCATTTTTCCTGTACGGGTGCCTCTGCCCTAATTTGTCAGCACACAAATACCAAAATTGAAATGTCATTCACGCACGCACATGAATCTTAACTTCTGGTGCTGCTGTTAAAAAGTTTACGGCACTGATATACTAGACTTTACAGATGTAATCTAAAGGCACCGAGCTTTGCGCATGAAGCGTTCGTCGACTTTTAATCTGATCAAGAAGTAATAGAGAAGGTGAGAATGCTGGACTGGATTGAGTAGAAGAAAATCTATTCCGGCACAAGGTTCCCGTCCCCTAGTAAAACAATATAGCGCGGTATCAAGGATCGGCCAAGTACGTACATTGATCGACAAACTTGACGGTTACTTCTACCTTCTTGCTCGTTCCAGAGGTCTAGAAGCTTCCTGCGACAGGGAACATGGATACGCTCTTTTAACACGACAACAAGTATAAAGTGCAAGATAGAGAGGAGGCAGCAGACAATTCAATGCTCTGCTCGAGTTACAAAAAGCAGGACACTTAGTAGAAAAGATATTTTTATAGGCTCTCTCATTTTCCAGGGTCGCCCACACTAACATACTATCACTCAGGCACTTTTTATCATCGAATATTTGCTGTGCGACGACTAGGTATGTCAGGTCAGCTATACTTCCTGAGACCGCTCATATTCTATACCACGGGGCATTGCCCGCTCGAGTAGCTCGGTGTGCACTTCGGACGCGAGCGGGCTTGTCGACGAAGTGATCTATCAGTCTGAGCTTACAAATTTGTTTTGAGAGTTCCACTGAAAATGTGCTACTTTCCCTCCACTGCCCAACCCTACCCAGAAATAGCTGACATGATACGCAGTGTCTCCGTATCACCAAATCTTTGGTAATTCCCACATTTCTATTTCACCGAAGTTCCAACTAAAGCTTTGAGAGTTGCTGCAACGTTTTGCACCGTCAACTGAAAATGTGAAGGAAGCACGCTCGTGTCTCATTTGAGGATAAATGAAAGGTTTGAGAAAGGGTGGAGACTCCGGAGGTGATTGTAGTAAGACAAAATGGGACGATAATTGGTAATCCTGTGTTTGAAAGGGTCTTTCTAAGTTTAGACTGATCAAGTAGCCGATATTTTTGCGGATCTTGACATCCCTAATAAAGTATGTCAATGCGGCGTTAGTCAATCGAGGGACGACTCTAGAGACTGCGGCTGCGGGCCCGATTAGATCACAGCCAGGACACATTTTGTGGTGGAAATCACCAAACCTATTCAAAGTCTATGACAATAATGTATAACCCATCATCGGTTCGAGACGTATAATTAATCTCTCTCTAGCTAAGTCTCGTGAAGAACACTTTAAAAGTATAAGGCAATCCCATCCTGTCTTCGTGAGATCTGGTATCCAAATGTCGCAAATCCTAAGATGAGTGACTCGAGGAAGATTTTGATGCTCCATGGTATGAAGCTGCCTAAGTAAGCCTGATCAGCCCTTAAAAGATTTGTCTGAGCCAACACACATGATAGGGCATGGTTAATCGGCAGAAATCTTTAAACCGAAAATGCGACACGTGGAAGCGATCTTGCGTGGTGTAATAGGAGACGTGGAGTTTATATATCTTTCTGCCTCCTGGAAAGACTTCTCCGACACTGCTGATACAGATCATCGTGTCTGGGGGCATGGCGACCCCGAATTTGATGAGATCAAAGGGTTGGGAGTATCGCTAGCTTTGGTGCGCCATACACTAGAGAAGGATGGCCCTTTCAGCGGCGTAGTCGGGTTCTCCTCTGGCGCCGCTATGACTGCAACTATTACGTCACTGCTAGAACAACCGTACAGAGGAGATGTCAAGACTGGCAGGAATGTATCTCTTGAGGTATGTTCCTCTCAGCTGTCGGTGGGAAGTACTCTATCGACCCGGATATAAATGACAAGTTTCTAGATCAATCATCCGCAACTAAGATTTGCTATTTGCCTCAGTGGATTTCGATTGAAGCACGTGTCTTACAAGAAATCCTTCTACTCGTCCAGTATCAAGACACCAACTTTTCACACTATTGGGACGTCAGACGCAGTTATCGACCCGAATCGAACAGTAGACCTTACGAACTGTTATGAAGACGCACAGGTCTATCAGTACGATGGTGGCCATTATGTGCCACAGTATAAGGAGGCGAATGGTCTTCGCGGCGATCTTATTCCTTTTCTGCAACGAGTCATGAAAATGCCAACCGATGATGCATGTGCTGAAATTCACTTTTAGCGCTTCGATCTCGAGTGCTTAACAGAACGAGAACGATAGAATTAACAGTTGTCCTTCGCCTTCGATGTGATATATTTACCGTTGATGTTCCCGTTCAGAGCCCGCAAAATCTTGGGCTTCTGTGTCAAGATCTCCGAGATGATGGACTATTGGCTGGCTGACACGTTGATACAGTGCTACGATTCATGTATTTTGGCCCTTTAAAATAGATGTTCAAGAAATTGTGCCAGTAAGGGTAAGCGCCTTCAGAAATCATTCACAAGCTCAGGCGTCTACCAAGCCGAGAGAGAATTTAACAATGATCAAATTCCATTTTCATTCATATCCAGTGTATATATGAATTCCACTCCAGTAGAGAAGCATTCTGAACAAACCGGGCACTTCGTGTGAAAACGCATATCTTGAAATACAGCGCGAAGAAGACGGAACCCCGAAGGTTAGCCTGTTCTGGCTCGTGGAGAGACATCCTCGAGTTTGTTGCTGAAAACTGTATAAGCAGGCACGTAGTTATTTGTTGAGTATTTTAGCTGTCTAGCCACTCTGTAAGGTTGTTGAACACGCATGTCCTATCATCTACCGGAAAGATTGGCTGTATCTTGACATAGGCGGCATAGATGTCGAAATACCTCCAATTCTTCAAGGGGGAAGCTGTGTGCAGATTTTGGGGTCTCTGGACATATTCCATGCCCCTCATTTCACGCCGATAACGGAGAAAGAGTTAGAAAAAGGCTATCGAGCCGATTGGTTGTGACCTGAGACTTTTGACAGGGGCTATTGAGCCTGGCCCGGTAGGAACAGATAGCTTTATAAAGGCCATTTATTGAAGTCCTTTTGACTCGGAAGACGTGTGAAGCGTCTAATTCAAATTCTAGGAGGCGCAGAAAAACGTTATATGTATAGCTGCTCACTGAGAAAGTGGTATTGTTCAGGAGCCATATTGTCACCGGCTTCCTACCGCCGCTATGAAAATAGTTTGCCTGCGCTGAGCAGCGGAGAGCCAGACAACAAAACATAAAACAATTGACGACACGTAATCCCCCCTCCCCCCTAGAAGCTCTGTGTGCAGCCTCAAACTTCATCTGGTAGTTGGTGGCGGAAATCTTCGAGCGTATTGCGTAGCGTAGCACGTGCGTTTCTCACTTCAGTGAATCCTTTCTGACGAAAAAGCACGATCTATCGGAGGCAGTCCTAACGTGTATTTGGCTTCGCTGCGGGCCGGATGCTCGAGTATCTGTTTCTTGAGAGGCCCCTGCTCGATCAGAGCTTGATCGAACAACGCCTTGGCGGCGGCACCGTCCATACTATCTTTCGCCATACTGCCTTTCGCCATACTGCCTTTCGGAATCCTGCTTGGAGTGACCCGAGTAGGTGTAGCTGTGTCTATATTAAAGGGCCGGCTCGCTGAAGAAGACGGTGACCCATTGTGATCGTCTTTGTCTTGACTATAGTAAGACAGCCGACCAGCTATACCGCCCGACCGGATTTGGTGCAGGAAGGCGGACGCCGCGCACAGAATTCTAGCAAGAGTACATTCACGCTCGTTGCCGGGTGGGTGTTTTAGACTGGAGGGTAGATGCTTGAAAATGATCTCGAGATCCTCGTATGTGCCTCTCTCAAGGTCCTCGTTGTTGATAAGGGGGTATTCTTCCTGCAACCGCACAGCATCAGGCTAGACGCGAGGTGTGTAGCTGTGTAAAAGAAACCGCCTACAGCAAGACAGTCTTTGGGCAGTGAAGACCGCGTACGGGCAATTCGGGGGCATGATGCTACTAAAATCAGCGTCCGTCAAAGAGGCCGCAAATATGTAGTATACATATGCAGGGGTCGGACTCACAGAACATCGCCAGGGCAGAGCTCTACCCGGACCCAGCCACCATATTTACGCACGTGTTGAGACCCGACGTGACTGAGATATTCTGCAGCATGAGGAAAGGAACTCCGTGGAAGATACCACATTTTCCGACCTTCCAGAACCGACACCCATTTGAGCTGACCTGCATTGTCGACGTAGATAGTAGACACCGAGTTGGCCAGGCTGAGTAACATGAACTCCTGGGTACGAGGAGCAGCCTTTCAAATATCGGACTTGCCAACGGTGTCGATTTCGGCGTCGTACGATCATTTGCGGAGGTCGTGCAAGAGGATCTCTCGAGGCCCAACAGGGGTGGACCGATTCTCTAGGTTAAGCACGTTCAAGGGGGGCCGTTGAGCCCTAAGAGGTCGCTTCCAGGTATCGCGGCCTGCTTGCATCGTTGTTCGAGATGTTCGGTCACTAGCGTCACCGGTAAGTGTGTAGTCATTCACATCCACCTCCTGTTCCAGACGGTAGTCGTGATCTGCGTGGAATTGATCCAGACGTAGATCGGTGCGCCCTAGGATTGAGGACGGCTCGCTTGCTCGGAAGAGCAGCAGTTTCGTGAATCCCTCCCCCAATCAATGTCTTAGGTCCTCTTTGTCTCGTAGAAGAATAATATTATACTTGTTGTGTAGGCCAGCCTTGGGTAAGCCACGAATAATCGTTCGTTTAGTCTCCTCTCAATCATTGGCTACCCGACGTATATACGCCCTAAGACTGGAGTCTTGTGTCCTCGCCCACTCGGCGTTGGCGTCAAGTGTCGGGAGCTTACCGAGCGAGAAGTCTCCGTATGAAGGGTCTTCGGGGATGCCGAGTTGGCGAATACGGCGTTGCTTTGGCCTTGTAGTGTCGGGGATGGGGGAACTGGATCCCTGGGCGCCCTCTTGGGAGGCGATTGTCAGTCTTTTCCTCTTCGACGGCATTTGATTGCAATGCGCTGCGGCTATAGGCGCCCCGGGGCACTCTGTGGGCGTATCTCAAGATAAAGGCATGTCACCCCCGTCATGTCCTTTGCCCATAGGAACTGCTTCCCTCTAAAATATGCTATGAGCTGGTATATTTTGGTGAAAGTATTGAGAGAATACGAAGAGGGTCGAGAGAGAGTGAGATGATTAGTTTGATGAAGTGTAGACAAAGACAGCAACGAGACTGAAGTTTGAACTATCCGAGCGAGCAACGCTCGCCTAGGACTAGCAGTGCTCTGAACGATTGTCATTCGCTCGGGCAGAGCGCAGCCCGGGTTGCCAACGGAAACAACCATTCCAAAAGTGGGCCCAACGCTGGGTCACAAGTTCACTCACTTAAGCATGTAGCGCTGTCTATGAGCTCGAAACGCTCATTGTGGGCATGGGGCGCTCGCTCCGAGTTCTGCTCAGCCCCATCTGTCCGCCCAAAAATACCTACTTCACAGTCGGGAAGTAGGTCTCTAATTTTTCAACGTCCTCGGTAAAGTACTGTGTGGGGTGTGTATCCTACAGTAATTGGACTGGTGTCATAACGTTCAGAGGTTTCAGGTTTCATTCACTATATGTTGATCATTACGGAGCGAAGCGAAGCAATACGCGTGCTGCCCCCTAACCCCCTCCCTCTTACTTTGTGGAACAAAAAATGTAAATTTTAGGTATGTAGTCAAGATCTCTCCTGATTTCATTGATATTTTGACTATAATTAAGGGGAAAGCTCCCGCAGACCCCCGTCTCGAGCTATCGCGTAAGTAAACATTGTAGAGACTTAGAAGTAAGATGTAGACCTAGCTAGTCACGTGGGACTGGCTACTCGGCGCACTCGTCACATGATGGTATTTTATGGGCGGTGTCACCAAGATTATGTCACCAATCAGGGCGCATCTGGAATTAAAATCCCGGCACTCACATGACGAGGAACTTCTTGTTCCACTCCAATTTGCAATAATGGCGCCAATTCTCACACATTTCTGGCAGAATCTCCTATGTGATATAGTGAATCCTAATTTTGAAATCCTCTTCTACACGACAGCGAGGCAGCTGAAGACATGATGTATTTGCTAAATAAATGGCTGCGCCAGCTTATGGTGATGATTATCTTGCTTAAACGTTTATTCGAACTTTTAACCAAAATTCTTTGTAATATATTATCACATTTTTTTATATAATATAATATTTATATATATGATTTAAATATACATTGAATTATAGTTCAAGATATATTAGAGAATGTTCTAGAATATCCTATAATCCTAGTATATTTTCATGATTTTCGATAGAAAACTAGAATAACCTAGAAATTTTAAATAGTTTTTATTTACATTAAATAGAAACTATTTTTCAGTTAAGTCAAAAATGGTACTAGTCATTTAATTTATACTATAATAGACTAGTATATTATAATGTAAACTAATGATTACTATTAATTTAATTATACATCTCTAAGAACCTAAAACTATCTAATACAAGTTCTGTACTAGATGGAAATCATAGGGAAAACTAGTATATCTGGTACGTACTGGATATTTTCAAATCGAACTTTGCAGATCATTCAGCGACCGCTATTTCCGTTCAGCGAAAAATTATAGCGGCTCCACTACCCTATTTTCTTCAGGATATTTCAGTGATTACCGGTATATCCTTAACATTTCCGTTCAGCGACCTCTACGCAGCGACCTCGCGACCCATGCGCCCTCCGCGAGGTGGACATGGTCACCACTGGAGGATGGGCCTCCAAGGTAATACGCAGTATGGAGGTACACAACGTACTCGCCGGAATCTCACCAACCAGACGTGGGCTCGGTATGGTCTAGAATGTATTTACGCACGAAGAACACCCGCATGTTCAATCTTTGGAACTCAGCGGTAGGTCAGGAGCGTTGGCTGATTTGGGCGAAACTGATGTCCAATCAATCACTAGGTGCTAATTCCGAAACATCACTGATTATACAGGGAAGTATATCTGTCTTGGCCTTGTGTTCGCCTATTTTAAACCTTTGTGAGGTTAGATCACTACATCTGTGATGGGATTTTGGTTTCTTGGTTTCAAATCACATAAAAAACCCAGATTTAATCAGGACCATCCTTCGGATCGTTTTTTGACAGCGTACAACAGCGTACATTGAAGTGGCTAGAGGTAAAGCTACGGAGCGGGAAAATCACGACCACAGAAACTCTCTCCCGTAATCGTGTGATGTCAATCACATTTCTACATTATAGAAAGCCGGCATATGAAGCAAGGCAAATACTAGATTGAGTAAACCAATTCAAGCGACGTGATTATTACCCACAGAAATGTTTATTCAATTCATCCCAAAAGTTGAAGGGGGTTTTTTATTTCTTGAAAGCGTGTGACTGTGTACCAAAAATTCTCAATCTCAAAATGACCTTCACGTCAAAGCTGGAGCAAATTGAAAGAGTGAAAAGAAAACCTCGGTTGGTTGCAATACAACTCTATCTCGCTCAATCGGGCAATATTCTAATTATGGCGGTATTTTGGTGCTAATTATAGTTATTGCAAAGCGCACGCTAAGAACGTAGACAGATTGAGGCTTCAGCCCTTTCAATCGACTAATACGCGAGTAGTGGTTTAGAAAGCTATAAAGAAAAGGCGCTATCACAGTATTGAAGCTAAGTCTCACCTTTCCATATATTTCGAACCTTTGAGAAACATGGCACCTGCCTCTTCTAAACCGGCTGACACCTCAGATCCCACTGGTGGATGGGACGACGAAGTTTCATCTAGCGAGGAGTCAAACTCTCAGCCACCAGAATCGTACGCCAGGGACAAAAGCCCCCATATTCATGTAGAGCCCACAAGTGCAGAAAAGCCTAAGCGCCGTGGAAGACCTAAAAAGACACAATCACCAAGAGAAGCTGCTGTTAATCGAGCAACGAAAAAGCCGGTGAAGGAAAGTGAAAACAAATCCAAAGTACCCAAACCAACAAGAGAAGCTGCGACAGAAACCAGAGCACCTCCAGCGGGGCGCAAGAAGTCTGGAAGCGATGTGACAAAAGACGGAGGACATCAGAGACCAGGAAATGCTAAGGGGGGGACTGGGGCCCAAACTGCAAACCCGTCCTTAAAGACACTCAAGCAAAAGCTAGATGACATTGCCAAATTGGTTTCCGAAGCATGGAATATTCTGGCCGCGATTGAAGGTGGGAAGTAGGAACTCTGATATCTGGGTACAGACTATACCTTCAAATAAGGTACCCTCTTTCTTATGTGAACCAGATATAATAAATAGATCTTTTCAATTCGATTCAAAGCTTCATCTCGTGTATCTGTATCTGTGATGTGATGGCAGCTATGGGGACGCTGTAGGCAAATAAAGCAAGGCCTGATTCCTCTCCTTGCCTAAATTTATTCCGACTCAGGTTTTGACCACAGCTGTGACAGCTATCCCTTTCTGGGTCACCTCCGCAATGAGCTCGAAGAGCCGCACTCTGTCATATGAAGAAAAGGGATGCCGGATTACTTAGTCCTCTTCGGACGTAGAAGAGGCCTCTTTCTTTTTCTTCATCACTCTATTGCGACCTACCCCGGCTTACGTGAATCTTGATTCCCTGTCTTTGACAGTAATGTCAAGTAATACCAGCAGAGAAAGCACAAGAAGCAGGAACCAGCGAACCTAATGAGCCGGTAGCACACTGCTTATGATCGATTCTATGAATGATATCAAATAATTGTGCAACATTGACTTGTATGTGACGTCAAGGGGGCTATGCGGGGAAGTGGCAGAGTAGCGTGGCCTAATGATCGTAATAGTGAGTAGTAATGACGGTAAATATTACCAAATCTAACTTACCCTACCAAGAACGATCCCTTTCTCTTTCCTTCAGTACTACGTGTGATACGCGGTGTGAGTGAGGTAAGCCGGGGCCTGGATCGCCAAGTCGCCAAGTCGCTGCACAAATCACGCTGAATGGAACTTTAAGTTCTAATGAAGTTCCTCCAAGGTGGCGAGGCCGCAGGACCAGCTGAGAGGTGAGAATATTCCCCCTTGCGCTGGCAGCTTTTCCCGTCTTTCTCCCGCCATTCCCGTTCCGATCTCAGTGCTGCTTCCTGTGCCTGGAGACCCAAAGGTCTCTCAAGCTCCTACCGTTATTTAGGGAACATTGATATATCATTTGTTACAAATGTTCCTTACGCAACTGCTCCTTGCGAAAGCTTGCTAAAGATTTGCAAAGATCTTTCAAAGTTGAAAGATTGATTAGCTCGCAGACTGTGTCATCAGCTACCAAATCCGAACATTAACGGAAGATTCACGGAAAATCCACGGAATCGTACGTTAAGTAGTTTCAAATACTGAAGCTTAGAGGAAACGAACAATGACGCCTTATTGAAAATATATTAACTGACATATTCTGCCACAAAAAAAGGTAGAATTGCTTTTATCAAGTTAACGATTATTTCCGTGGTAGCTATACAATATTAACGAGGCAAATACCTGCGAAACTATCAGCGCTTGTTTCATCATTGTCATAAGACATCACAGATCTGATACTACAAAGTAGTACACATGGGAAAGACGCCATCGATTGCCGTGTTTCATGGACATGGAGTGGTGAACACTACCTCTACTTTTTATTTCTTTGCTGCTAATTTTAACAATCACTTGAAATGGTGGAAAATCAAACCTTCTATATTGATACGGTTCTATAAGAAATTTTCCAAGTCACTCTCAATCGAGATATCTTTTTTTATTGTCACAAAATATTTAGGCTGGTGAATTCGGGGAGGTGAGAAAACTTAATAATTCGCGGCATCGAAATATATTTTGATCACAATAATCCTGTTACTAGTGTTTTGCTGTGAATGATATTTCCTACGCGGAGACACGACAGTCTTGTGGAATTCCCACGGTCAAGGACCACTTCATCATTCGTCTCTTTAAGTCCGCTACACAAGCGGAAGAGAACCTGTTGAAAGGTGCCTCCTAGGATCTTTCCCTATGGGTCTTTCCAGATAGGTCTGCATATGCAGTCCAGAGCCTTCCCTCCTGGCCTAGATATAGCGCCTATAGATTTCCCTTTGCAGTAGGAAATCAAGCTCGCTTTCTTCAGCTCCCTTCCTCGCTTGCCATCAGAACCTTCGTGAGAAGAGGTGGGAGCGGATAATATTTCATGTCCTTATCCTGGATCCATAGGTGTCTCGAACATGGCATCTGTGCCAGGCCAGGTCTTTCGAACAAGTAAGAACGAGAACTCTTGCCTTATGGAAAAGAACATTTCCCTCTTCAGTAAGGACAGTCTGCGACCAATCGTGTCGCACGCTTCATGGAGGTAGATTGCTGTGACTAGAGCCGGTCTACTTCAACTTAACAACGTGGATGGTGTATATGAACGCTGATTGAAGTCAGGGAACATGTTTCAAGAGACTCTGTGAGTCCACCGCTCCTAATTCACATTCATTTTTCGATTGCAAGAAGAAATGAGCATACCTTACATGCTGCAAGTTCAACGAAACCTGAGATGACACCTGGGCCATATGGTAGCATTGTCTGCGGTATATTCAAGCAGCCTGTGAGCATTCTTTCCAGTGTCGATGAGATAATATATTGCAACACATCTTTATAACAAACATAATTCTCTTGTGAATCTTCACGGGGGGATGAACAATTGCACTTTTCCCAACTCCATTTCATGATGGATTCTCTGTCAAAGGTAACACCACTCGGGGTCACGACAAATCTTCGAAGACTTGACGATCAAGTGGATTCTATAACCCTCAGGGTATCTTGGTATCGCATTTCTCGCTTCTGTTCGTTAAATTCGGCTGTAGAAGAAAATTTGCTGTTTCTTATTCCAAACTGCCGCGTTGAGAAAGTCGATTCGTCGGGTCACGATCAACAGTCTGTCTCACAGACCCTGATTGTATGAAGGTCCTCGACTCTCCAGCGGAAATATAGTTAGCCAATGAATGACCAAAGCCTCCGCTGGTAAAAGCTTGCCTTCCATTTGCATAAGAGACCGATACGCCGAGGCTCAGCGTGTACTCCCGACTTACGGGCTCCATATCTCCTCTGGTGTTTCCAGCCAGTTTGTTATCTCTCCATTTTTGCACGGTCCAATTTATCTGCTTTGATATCTTGACCATGGCTTCAGCAGTCCTTACGTATTCCGCAGCCTGCGTCTCTGACGAGATACCTTTTTCCACAAAATTTTTGATATTCTTCAGGACAGATTCCCAATCCTCCGCGTCCTCGAATACCTGAGGAACATTAGTTTAATGCATTTACTGTTTTTGCCCGGGGCTAGGCAAACTTACAGAAACAGAGTGTCGCGGAGCTGGATTGTATGAGGAAGCGTGTAGTACGCCAGTGCTATCCGAAGGGTGAATGGCAGTCTCACATGCGTTGGATGTTGTGGTGTCAGGCATGCTGTATGGTGGTGGGGCGGCATCATACGGGGGCGGAGGATCAGGAGTTGGGGATGGGCAACGGCGATTATAGCGACCATTTTTGCCCCCTGTACTCATGCGTTGACATTGTCTGCTGCTAGCACCTCTGCAGTTGGACCGTCTGTTGGTACGATCGGGAGGCATGCCGAGTCTGTGGTGATAACTTCAAGAGAATTCAAGACCCTTGGTCACAAGTAAAGAAGGGAGGAGACAAGGAGAGTGGGTTGTGACAGCAGCTATAACAGCTTCAAGAGAGGTGGAATCTCCCTAATGGCTTATTTAGGTCTTCTAAGTGCGAGACTAGGGTATCAATCAAGGCGCTGAAGATGTGTTGTGGGAGTACCTAAAAATGAGCAGACGCGATGTGTCTTAGATAATCAATGGATCCGCGACGTTTTCCTCAACCCACTGGTTCCGTCACATTCAGAAAGTAATCTCTTTTCTACAAGAATAAAACCTCTTGATGAACGTATTTAGCACCTTTCTCGGCTCACTACCGTGACACTCAGCTCATTCTAATTCGGCTGTGATTTTGCAAGAATTCAAAATTGAGCTACACCACTTGGTGGATTTACGGGGCCAGATGAATATCATTGGTGATGGTCTAAGTGGTCGATAAAGTCAAACCCTGCCCCGTGGCTGACAGGAGATGTCACTGAGGAGCTGAAAGGGACGCTTTCACTGGAAGTCAGTAGCACCAAATATCCGGATAACAATCACGTAATTATAATATTTAGCCTCGAAAGATTTCCATTCGGCACGCATCACCCTGCGTGAAGTTGAGCGCCTCCTACCTAGCCAAACCCGGAATCCACCATTTCGCATCTGTAATCTTCATCACATCAGTTGTCGTTTCTAACAGCTCCAGAAACCTTTTCTTTGACGGCAGCCTAAAACCCACATATTGAATGAGCCTTTTCGAGTAAGAGAAGACCTATCATATATAGCATCTAGATCACCTAATATCCTAATCCCTTGTTGAGTGAGATCAGCGTGCCATTTGCAAGAACAAAGGTTTACTCGATGACAACGCACCAATGGACCCTTTCTGTAAAAAAGTTGGCCGTCTGTCATATGATACTGGAAGATCTGCTTGCGGGGAATCCGACTCACGCGGAATCTCTCAGGTGGCCCCCGCGCTCACAGTCAAGGCATTTGTTATCGAAGGCTCTCGGTACGCCCCTGGGCCATTACGAAAGACGAAGAGGAGAATCCCGCTCCGCTGTACTCTCCCATGCTACTCTCGGCCAGATCGAAGATCATTGGCTCGTCATTCTGAATCTCAGCCTCATGCGCTCTACTCGGCAGAGCACGTAACAGATTGCCGCCGCGGAAATGATTCGCCCTCAACTACAGACTACCGTCTTTCCAAAGGTAGTAGTGCTTCCGAAGATCTCTTCAACCTCAGATCTAGCTCTAACATTGTTATCTCGGCTAAAGCTGATGCAGAACATTTTAAACAACGTCGGTCAGGAATACTGGGTATTTCAGCGGATTTTCCTTCACATCGCCCGCAGATGATGTCGAAATCTGGAAGCTCGCGAAACTTGACCTCGGCCACCACTCTTCGATGTACTGATTTAGAAAAGTGCAACTCACTCTCTGAATCCACAAGACGCGGCAAATTACAAGATCTCCCACTCGCATCGGATAGGCTACGCCGTAACACGCCGGCAGTGGACACAGAGATCCAAAGAAAGCACGACTGGGTCCCTGCAATTCTTCGCCCATTGAATCACTGCAGCAGCAGGCCACTCGCTTTGTTCAGCTCGTCTGGCCTTGTGGCGGGAAAATACATTAACGACATTGTGATCGAGCGCGCAACATCTTCGCCGCCTACGCAGTCGTGGCATCAGTCACCATCCCCGAGTGGGGCTGCTGAGGTTTGCGAGGCAACTGCAGTAAGTGTAGTGAAAGTGTATTGCGATCAATCGTTATTTCTGATTGATCAGCGGGCACGTGTTAACAAACACACGATATTCGGGCTAGACAAGAGAGGCCCCTTACCTACCAAGTCCCATTGCCGAATGCCAAAAGGCTATGTCGAGGGATCGCTATTGATATCACCAAAGCCATCTCTGAAGGGACTCAGATCACTGCCTCTTGTCTCCTTCCCGCTGCCTGACGAGAATATGGGCACACACAGAGCCAATACAGCTGGTCGTCAGAGCTCTACACTATATATGTGGACTTCACGCCCTCAAACAAATCTGGGTGACGCCAAGATCCAATGCGCGTCGATGCGATCGGCGAAGAAGTACAACGCAGGAGTAGTCAAAGACAGTCGTCTGCACTCATTTTGGCGCCCCGGTGGGTTCTGGGATAAGTATTCAGAATAGTTCGAGGAGGAACCATTCAACAGCCATACGATCAGTAGCACTCTGCTGAAAGCCTCCCCTCGATCTACCGACTATACTTGTTGATGGCGAATTAATTTCCTTGTCACTCTTTAATTCACCCTACTGCAAAGGCTGATATTTCCCTATGAGACCATTGGCAGTAACACCTTGTCCTAGCTAAGTAATCTTCCCCGACGATTGTTATCTCAAAAGTACAACCGAAGCCCCGGGCCGAGGCAGTTAAAACTAACCTCAAGTTGTAGCAGATAGTATGGGTCCCCGTTCTTCTACATTGCAGTATTCTGGTCATGAAAAGAATGGTCCTGTCTTGCACAAACCACAGTCTTCATGCATGAAGACGGCCATTTGGTACTCTACTGGATTGATAGCTGGTAGCACTATCAAATCTGGAGAGGAAGACAGAACAGCGGCAGGCTATATTGCTTGACATCAATATGGGCCGGTCATGAGGCATACACTCCCAGGTCAAAAGTTTTTTGATACGGCCCATTTTACACCATATCTCGCTAGTCCTTTCGGTCATCGTTTCAAGAATAATACAATATAATCGAATTTTAACATGCTATCTTTTTCTTAACCTTTAGACAGGCTAAAAATTCATTTAACAAATTTCAATTGTAGATACTGGATAGTTTAGTGTCAAGTTACATTCCTCTTAATTCTGGTGAAAAAACGAAAACATTTATTTGTATGAGAACACTGACAAAATTTTGGGCGACTTTAGAAGAAAGCCTACCCACTAAATAAGAATTTTGACTAATGAAGTATATATGAGGTACTTAAATAAGGCAGTGTGTTGAAACTTTAGAACTTTATTGACATACGTGGAATATAATTGACAAGAGCATTGTCTTCCAATGTAATTAGGTGTTGCTAATTTGCTACCTTTTCCTCCCTCAAGGGCCATCCATTCGCGCGGTATCACAGTATAGATGCTTCCGTAGACCAGGTAAGACCGTGTGCTAAGTTACTCAGTCGAACAAGTGCTAGGGTTGCTGGGTCTGTGGTACGTATAGACGGCTATATTCACGTGGTCACATGGTGAACATGGGATCCAAGCATCAGGAACCTGGAAGAAGCTCGAGGAAAACATGGGGTAGAAGGGGCCAGCCTCCCGAGCCTCGCTACAATTCAGAAGTGGCGTGACGAGCAATTACTCGCCAACCCATCTCGGGGTAAGGACACCCCATCTCGGGACCCTACACGATGCGGGTGGGGAGGAACGTCCTTATCGTGGCCCACGTCCTCTGCCACTGCTCCAAATGGGGTACCCTCCGAAAGGGGGTTCTGGGCTCAGCCCCCAATAACCCAATACTTGTCCTACGGGACGCAGTTCATGCTATCAAGGCAGTGGAATTCATGAAGCGGACAGGACTCCTTGGCAAATTCCGGAGCATACAGACGACGACGCAGGGCCTCGCCCTCGCGACTGCTTGACAGTGCCCTATGGGCAACTCAATTGAAACGGCGGTAATCACCAGCAGAGGCCTCTTACGGCGGAGCACAGGGGGAGTCTATTGGCCCTGGCCATAGACGGGGAGGAGGGCGAGCCCCGGCCCCGAATAGTGTCCTTCCGGCAAATCGGGCCCTAGGAGGCTAGGCCTGACAGATCCGTGTATGATTGATAACAATAATGAAAAGGTTAGCAACGGTGGCAGCCGGACCCGCTAATCACATAGATCAGAAGACCTAGTGGGAAGTAGTGGTGATCGCGCGTAATAATTTGTGTTTTTTAGGCGATACGGCAGGCCTGGACGGCCCCCGCATAGCCGCAAACCTGTGGGCTGCAGCCCATCACACGTGTGTGGGCCCTCAAACGACCTCACCTTCCAACCAGGGCCGATTGGAAAAGGTAGGTTGGTGCCCGGTTGCCTAATACCTCATCTGCTAGTGTGGGGCGGGGCCGGCCCCAACTCCCTTTAGTTTCTCGAGGCAAGCAAAGTTCCGAAATAGCTCCTGATGATGCGGGCAACGTAACGCGAAGCCGCTTGGTGGATCATCATCTCGGTTACAGCTGCTCGGACGCATGCGACGAGCCTCCTATAGCTATGGAGTAATTACCACCTTGGTACTCGTGCCTCGCCGCGGTTCTCTCTCTATCCCATTCGTCCCTTTGTCATCCATACCAACGCTGAATGCCATCACCCTTATTGAAAGCGAGCTAGTGATCTTCGTGGCGCATCTTCCCCGGGACCCGACCCTGAAAACAAAATTAGGGACGAGAAACAAGTAGGAAGCGGGCGGGAATGGCCCGCTTGGTCGGAAGAAAAAGGGAAAGTACATAGCAGGTAGAGAAAGGTAGGGAACCTCTCGCAGCTATCCGCTAATTAGCAGATAGCTCACGGGGCGGCCGCGGGCGGGGAACCATCTTTTTCTTTTTTTTTTAATTCCCTCTTTCGGCTAGGGTTAATATGACTCGTCGTTCAGCTATACCGTGGTAAGGAGGGATCATTTTGCTACAAAATATATCGCTCATGTAGATACACAGTTGTAGTTGACCCGACGTGAAATTGTTCTCGACACGGACGGAGGGGGTCAGGTGTCTCCTGATCATTTAGCGGGCGGCATTGCTACCCTGGAAGACACCTATTCACCTTAACCCTCTTCCATCACGTCTGCCGCTGCCTACAAATATACTGATTCCTCGAGATACAGATCCCAGCGAGATCCTGACAAATTCCAAGAGACGATAGAGAAAGGGAGAATTTGATGTGGATCACGGCGAGATTGATCTGATGACGGGCGAGAAAATTGCGGGATTGAAGGATGGTCATGAAAACGGACCACGTGCAAAAGCCAGTTACGTTACATTACCACCTATGATCCTATTGAAAAGACATATTCTCATTCAGACTTCCATCTCTCTTCCCCTCTCGCGGGTAGCTTATTATGAGCCAGAGTACAGGGTACGCCCATGATTCTGGTAAAGAATAAAACGATGGGCGTTGCCTTGTACATTTGTAGCGTGTCTTTGGAATATCGACAAGGGCCTGCTCTCCTCGAGGGGAGAGGAATGTCAATGTTGAACTGATTTCGCATCAAGTAAGACTTCGAGGAAAGTCGAAGAAGTTGTTCCGAGCTGATGATGCATGGATAAATTTGCAACAACCGGGGATATTCGTGATTCTGCAAGATCTCGCCAGTTTCCATGTGGACGACACACCACTCTTGATTCCAGGCAAGACCCGTAGCCGTGAGATTCCAATTTTGTTCATCAGGAATCTGGAACCCGCGACATCCTATGATAGGGAATATTGTTGCCGACCCTTCATCATGGTTAGGTGAGACGTAATCCGGCGGCTCCACTGATTTTGACAGCCTCCGCAAGGATCTTGCCATCTATGAAAGCCGGTTAAATCGTGTAATTTTGAAGATACTGTGAGGGTGGTAGCAAATGACAAAAGCGCTGAGCACGCCTGTAATACGACCAACCTTTGCTATAGCCTAATTCTGACTCGCTTGAAATATATTTTAGCGAGCGTGAAATTGCATTGAAAAGGAAGTAGATGCGTGCTAGGACCTTTGGGAAGACGCGCTGGCCCAGAAACGATCAGCTTCAGAAGGTTAGCACCGACTCCTCGCTATGGTGGGTATTTAACTGCGTATCCACTCCCCTTATCTATCTGGATATTGCTTTTTTAAAAGACGATCATAACGTAACGTACTTGGCTATTGCTCATGTACGAGTGATAAGAAATATGGAACGATTTGTGCATTATTCAGCTGCTTTGGCAATTCAAAGGAAAATAAATGACTATCAGTGGGACAAGCACCGTATGAAATTGAAGGCAATACTTCAAAACATAAGATGCGAGATCACTGTTGCAGTACAATAAAGCCTAGGGCAGCAACGGATTTCTAAACGAAACCCCAAAAAACGAATCACGAGCCTCGAAGTATAGAAAGAGAGTGTTTCACTATCTGCTAGACTGATAGAAGCCTTGAGATTTCAGTAAGAATGGTAATTGAAAAGCTGAATCTTGGAATTCAAAAGTTCCTGCGACTTCAACGATCCTTCGCTTCTATGGCTCCCACGACACGTTGTGCTTTCAAGTTTGCGATCTCGTGTGAACCCAGAACCGCGTCACGTGTCTGTTCCTCCTTCCGCAATTTGCGCATGACATAAGATCTGCTGTCAATCAGGTTAGAGTTTTCAAAATATCTAACGCACTTTATGAGGAAAATTATTTCAACATTGGAAAAATTTCTCCTAAATATAATACGCTTTCGGAAGTCTGGACACAGTGCGGGTTTCCCCATATTAATTCCCTGAAATCCCCTGTTTTTGACCACTTCGCTCTTGCTCCAACAGGATCACCAAGACTCAAAATTTCTGTCATAGCTAGCTTAGTGTAAGTACTAAGTACTATTGTTCCATGAAGTATTTAGTATTTGTGGTCCCTAAACTGTGTGCTACAGACTCTAGGAGGTCTCAAATTGCGAGGTCGCGGCGGTATCTTTTAAAATGCGGTTACTAGTTAAAGATACTTTATCGACCTTTAAGCCTCTTTTCTAACGAGCATAACTCGTCTTGAATACTATTTTCACAGTTGTTTTCAATACCTATAGACACCTTGATTGAATTTTTTAGACTTGTGAGTTATTTACGAAGTCAAGCTTACTTTTAAATTGTTGAGATATTTGCCTTCAATTATTAACACTCTTGCGGTGAAACACTCATAGTGTCCAAACTGATTAATAGGGGGTGTAACTGATTTAGCATTTAAATACTCTGCTAGATTTGGAAGTCTTCGGCATTCAAGCCTACTTTTGACCTGAGAGTAAGGCCGATATAGCTAGTGAATGAACCATTGAACCCGTGATGAACTACCTACGTAACTATGATCTGACTGCCTTCATTCTGCGTAGATCTTTGTTACGGAAGCGTTCTGGGCGGACACTAACCAACAAGACCATAAAAGATCACTAATATCCGCAGTTGCGGATACTGCCCAGAGTCCGGTATATATAGTATGGTATCGCAATATTGTTCGGCCACGCCGTAACAATCTTGCCCAAGGCGAGAAATGGCTTAGGGAAAAAGCCGATCGACACGGGCCTGCATGTCACGATTACGCTACCCATCGGGAATATCTTGTAATCGATGAACGTCGGCCTTTTTACCTTTTGATTTTGAACGCTCTGCTGGATCCGGCTTATCAGTATCAAGTACAACGAGCACGAGTCCAATGATGAAGCTCCATCATTGGTGACGAGACCCCTCCCTGAGTGGATACGGGGACCAGTGAGCGTTCTGCACAGTAACGTTATATAGAAGTACAGTCGATTTCGAAAACAGATGACCCCTTGGACACACTGACTTTGTTTCTCGGCTCGTATCCGAGTATGCACTAGTCTGTATCAGGAAAAGCTGTAAATAATTGTCTCCTTAGAATAGACCCATTAAAAAAACTAGAACGACGGAATAACGTAAGATATTGTATATCACATGTATTGCCTATACACTACTACCTTGGCGCCCCTCCATGCCATTTTCATTCCTACCCTGGCATCTCCCAGTCCGCAAAGACCTCTTATCCCCAGAATTGCTAGAATGGCACCCAGACTACCCTCCTCAAGGCTACACTTTATTCGTGATATGATACAAGCCCAGTCACTAACTAGGTCTCAAATAGCCGAAGCAGCTGAATGCAGTGAACAGACGATCAAAAATATTCGCAGGAACTTGCGACTGTTCGGAAGCGTCCATGCCCCCTCAAACCATATCGGTCGGAGACGAAGCGTGACACCACTGATGCTAGAAGCGCTCTGCGATCATCTGCTTGAAAAACCTAGTCTATACCTCGACGAGATGGCTATATTCCTGTGGGATGAATTCCAGATGCTAGCAACAACCTCTAGTATTAGGAGAGCCCTTATATCCACAGGCTGGTCTAGAAAAAATTCTCAACGAAAGGCTAAAGAGCAGAACGTGGAATTGCGGGAGACCTATCTTCATAACCTCTCTGACTTTGAGTCATATCAACTTGTTTATGTTGACGAATCTGGATGTGATAAGCGGATTGGGTTCCGGCGCACAGGCTGGTCACCACTCGGTGTAGCACCAAAACAAGTGGCACAGTTCCACCGTGACGAGAGGTATCAAATTCTGCCTGCGTACTCTCAAGATGGTATCGTGCTGTCTCGTGTCTTTCGTGGCTCAACCGATGCTTCCGTGTTTGAGGACTTTATCGAAGAGCTTCTTCACCATTGTGGAAGATGGCCGGAGCCGAAGTCTGTCCTGGTCATGGATAATGCATCATTCCACCACTCCGAGCGGATTTCACAAATGTGCGCCGATGCGGGAGTAAAACTGGTCTACTTGCCTCCATACTCACCGGATCTGAATCCAATTGAAGAGTTCTTTGCTGAGCTGAAAGGATTCATAAAACGTAACTGGAGCTACTACGCAGAAGATCCTACTCAGGGATTCAGCATCTATCTCGAATGGTGTATTAATCAGGTTGGCGCAAGAGAAGAAAGTGCCAGGGGCCATTTTCGGCACTCAGGTCTGAGCATTGAAGATTTACATGATTGACATTCCCCTGACTATCTAAAATATGAAACGATACACCCTGCATTCTGAGCCCACCAGGAACCACACGTCACTTTGAGCCTTTGTCAAGTATATGCCCACCTTCGGCGCCGTGGCTAGACGTTTCCTCGGGATGGGATTACGCATCAGTTGTTTTCCTTGAAGGAAGCTTCAAGGTCCATCTTTGCCTTTTCTGCGTCCACGTTATTCGGATCGATGACGCATTTTACCAGGATCCTATGACTGTTCTTCTGGGCCTCTTTCTTCACCTCTGCATTCTCAGCATCCTTGTTCGCTTGAAGAATGATCTCCTGTTGCTTGTCGCTGATAGTAGCGCCTTTATCCAGTCGAAAGTTTTTCTTCTTATCATGGCTTTGGGACGGATAAAGTCGCTATCCTTTGGTCGTGTTCTCGGCTTTCTTGAATATCTTCGCCCACGGAATACCATCAGTGAATGCACGAACAGTTTTAATGGATATTGGCATCTATTCGATATTAGTCTTCATGTCAACCTGCTGTTGCCCGATGTACCTTACCTTGTGATTTGGCACTGGAAGTAGAAGGTTTTGAAAAGATATTGTTGTCCTAAATGTCTCCTACGCAAGCCTCCAAGACTCTTAACATATCCAAGCACAAGGCGCCGAGGACATTATGGGCGCTTAGAATATGCTGAAACGAATGTAGAATGATTTGTACCATCGTTGTTACGTACTTGTAGCTCGAGCGCTTGAGAGAAATGTGGTCACACTTTGAGCCAATAAACACACTGAATTTACCGCTCATGATCCAGGTGCAAAGAATACCAGAGGAAAAACCACGATATGCAGATTACTAGTACTAGGGCATTACCAGGTAGGGAATTGTAGCCTCAGACATGAGTCATAGATGGTGAACAAACAAACATCAATTAAATATGGGCCTATATGGATGACCAGGGGCTGTGATCACTGGTGGAAGTTTCCACGAATCGGTTAGGAGTTCCACTTTCTGAGATCGCAAAGCTCAGCGCAACCCCTCAGTTGATGACAACTGGCCATACAGCCCGCAAATAATTGATGACCGTTGAAAGTCTCACTTGCAATACAGAGGTAATTATGTAAGGGGCCAAATCGACACTTTTACCACGAAAAAGTCTTCAACTTCATAATTAGGGATTCTTATACTTATGGTTGTTGTCTTGGGGGAACCTTTCGTGATTAGTTGCGTTGCTCGTGCGTTTGCTTTGTTTGGGGCGTTGGTGATTTGTCTTATTAAGCGCCAGGAATCCGAGAGTACTTACACCCTCTCCGGACCGCAACTGGTCCGATCACCACTCACGGCCAACGACTCGCGATGAAAGCCGGTGTCGGACGTCGTTTTCTTTCGAGTTTCTGCAAGCTGAGATCTCGTGCCGCTCATGATAATCAGTTACGAACGCTAGCCCATTCTCAAACATCGCCACGTTCATCCTTAACAACCACTACGCTTCCTCCCTGTCGCAAAAACCTCGCTATTCGCACGATAAAGACTCTCTCCAAGCAAATGCCAGCAGCCAGCCCCGACTTTGAGCATTTTTTTCGTTATACAAGTGGGCGGTGGCTCTGGGATGAAGAACAGCAGCTTCGGGATAGGTATCGGGCCTTTAATGTTGCTGGGCTCCAAGGCTTAGCGGCCAGAGCCGTTGGCTCAGGTAGCTGCGTCTCAATGACGAAGTTGGCAGAGGGAGGATTTAACAAGGTCTTCCGGTTGGTTATGGATGATGGAAAATCAGTGCTTGCCCGTATTCCGAACCCAAATGCCGGTCCCTCGTTTTATACGACTGCGTCTGAAGTTGCTACAATGGAGTTCGTGAGTTAAGCATGCCACGGTCAAGCGCAAGAGGCAGCTTGCTAACCCATTTACAAGGCTCGAGATATCCTCCAAATTCCCGTACCGCGAGTATTAGGTTGGGGCGCCACAACTGATAACCCGGCTGATTCGGAATATATTTTTATGGAAGAGGCAACTGGCACGCAGCTTGGAGTGATTTGGGATAAGCTGAGTCCGGATTCAAAACTCTCTATTATGAGAGAAGTGGTGGCTATCGAGTCAAAGATGCTGTCGGTGTCATTTTCACAGTATGTTTACTTTCACATTTATCCTGATGTGCAAAATCTGATCTGTTCTCGTCAGTTATGGCAGCATATATTTTGCGAGTGATGCAGTTGAAGGTGCAGTCCCCGCCAGGCTCACCAGCGAGGCTCCATCAGAACTCAAAGAGCATATATACAAGACGTTCAGTATTGGGCCTACTGTCGACAGGGGCTTTTGGAAAAGGGAGCGTGCTTCAATAGACATCTCCAGGGGTCCCTGTAAGTATCGCCATACGGCTATATAATGGTTTAACTGGCTAATTGTGTCTAGGGTCGCTCCTAGTGATTATGTATTATGTGTTGGCCAGCGGGAAATGGAGTGGATCAAAAAGTACGCCGTTCCAAAACCTCCGGGCGACGCTACGTTGGTGTCACCGGCCCAAAACAGTCCAGAAGCCCATCTGCAGCTGCTAGAGAAGTATCTCAAAGTGGCCCCTTCCCTTATGGACATTGAGCGCATCCTCACTCGTCCGACATTGTGGCATAGCGACCTTCACTCCTCCAATTTATTTGTGGATGACGGCCGTATAGCCTCCGTCATTGACTGGCAAGGGTCGTGGGCGGGCCCGCTCTTCCTTCAAGCTCAGCCATCCCCGCTTGTGGACTACCAAGGTGATATTCTACTTCGACGGCCGGAAAATTTCGATGACCTCGATTCTGAGCATCAAACTCAGATCAAACAAAAAATATTCATGTCAACGCTATTCCAGCTCTATTTGTTGGAAACTAAGAAACGGACCCCGCTGCTTACTAGAACATTCCATCTAGACTATGGGAAGACGAGGCGCCTTCCGGTTGAACTGGCCGGAAATACGTGGGATGATGACATAGTCTCCTTTCGTGAGGCACTCATTAATGTTGAAAGGTATATTGCTCGATGCCCCTCCGTTCCCTGTCCAGTGTTCAATTTCTATTTTAGGTATTGGCATGAACTTGGCATTCAAGGCGATTGCCCCTATCGCTTCACGCAGGCTGAATCACATGACCACTCAGTTGATGCCGATGGATGGAATGAGGTTCAGGACTTTTTTGACAGTGTTGAAGGTCTTGTCAAAAGGGATGGCTGGACAAGTCCTGAAACGTTCGACGCTGCCTTTGGGTTCTTCTCAGAACTAAGAAAACGTGGTCTCGCATATTTGAATGGCGATGAAAGGGACATCTTCGAAAGACAGACCCGTTGGGCCAAAACACAAGCTGACTTACGAGCGTCTGGGATGGAACAGTAAAACGTGTGAACAGCAAAAAGACTGCGGGTTACGGTGCCCGAATGCTAATTCGAATCCCAAAACATAGCGCACACTGAAATATCATAGAGCGACGTCCTGCTCTGCTGTCTATATTAACAAATGCATCCAAGTCAAGCCAAGTCAGACTAAAACAACGCCAAAGAGCTGCAACCAACGCTAACGCAATTTCTACACCACTTCAAGAACGGGTACTGCCTTCTTCACGTTCTCCAACCAGTCGCGGATATTTTCTACAAAACTTCGGGCAATTCCGGGTTTGATCCCCTTACCGACAAAGAATTCTGGGTTTTGATCCTTGTAAATGTGCTCAAGGTCAAAGCCATCTGATAGCGTTACGTCGGACGCTTGTCGAAATGTAGCTTTGAGGGTTTCATCAGAAACATTCGATGCAAGCCACTCACCATATTCTTTGACAGCAACGTCTCTGAATCCGGGAATTGTCAATGGGCTCACACCCTTTGACTTAACTGAGCTAACAGTCGGAGCCGTTATGTCAACCCTAGCAGGGTGGGACGGGAGAACATTGATGTTGATAGGTGGATACGGCGTTCTAGGTCCGGCAATGTTACCCCCTTTGCGCTTTTCTTTCTCCAGCCTCTGCTGCTCCTCTATGTATAGCTCTTCTTGGATCTCATCAGGGACATATTTATGCGACTCCAGGACACCACCTTTCTCAGCGTAGGTAACCAACCTTCTGAGGGTTTGAGTGCGGAGTCGATAATGCTTTTTCCCTACTGGATCCAGCCAACAGTAGGGGCCCAAATGGCATGCACTTGAATCACATTTCATCAGGGCATACACGCGGCGCCAAATTGGGTGCTTACCGTATGCATTTTCTTCAGCATCTAGCTGGGTATCGCGATTATTAAGCATCCTTTTTGTGACAGAAGATTTACCTCTCTTCTCCCCGTTCCGTCAAGCGGATGGAGAAGTGTCATCCTCTACGTAGTTAAAAGAGATCCTTAGCGTGAGTCTCTTGCCCCGACAGAAGTGACCCGACCACATCCGGAGCTGTTTCTCGATGGCAGTCCAAATAATGTCGGTCTTGTTGAAACGCTTAGTCAGATCACGCTGAGAACGGTCATTGACTGACACAACAATCGCAGTATCATTAGCCCTGACCCTTTTGTTGCGAGAGACCTTCTGTCCAAGGACAGTCAGCAGCTTCTTTTCCAGAAATCGCTGCCAGTAGGCGCTTGGGGCCAAAACTAGGTCTTCTTCCGTGTCCTTCACCACGGCCTTATTGTTAACGGTGACCCGCTATTCTATGAAGTAGTAGATATAGCTAGGTGGATCCTCATCGTAGATCTTGTCCTCCTCCCACTCAGATTCCCGGAGTAGTGGTAAAGCATTTGGTAGAGGTCGGCTGGCGGGACTGGGTTAATCGTCGAGGAAGGTGGATGGGGAGGGACTATAGTTGGACCGTGTAGTATAAGGGCTCCGGAAATATCCTGGCGTAGGAGGGGAATATTGAGAATCTTGTTCCCATGGTTCGAGCTCTTGGGGCTGAGAGGTATAGTCAGCGTAATATGGGCTGTCACTCATATTTACACACGATCGAAGTCCTCGAGATCTGCGTCAGCTTACACGGGAGGTTCCACACGTCAGCAACGAATAGAAGCGGCAGTAGAAAGCAGGAACCATGGGCAACACAAACGAGAACCATATTGGCCTACCAGGTTAGTCCTCAACAATAGCACAGCCTTTGTCATAAGGATGCAAATGAAGATAAAGACAAAGGCTGTGTGGATGAAAAGGCCGGAAGGCAGGTTGGCGAGCGTGGGTTAAGCCAGGTCGCCAGGGCAATGACCCCTCCCCCCTGGGGCCCCTGCCTAGAATGTTCTGTACAGAATTCCAGTATTTTACAGCGACCTGGAAACGCAATACATTTTAATACGTGATACAACCGAGTAGCGACCGTTCCAGTGTAACCAAATAAGGCTTAGCGTATACTCGGGTACGGGCCGAGAAACAAAGTCAGTGTGTCCAAGGGGTAATCTGTTTTCGAAATCGACTGTAGGGCGACACGTTATCTTAGAAAAACAATTAGTCGTAACGGTTGTACACCTCATCAAAGAAGCAGTGCTATTTGATTGTGTCGCCGCGAGAGAGTTGGTAGTCTCCTTAAGGGTAGAGATAGCGGTTGTTTAGGGAAGAAGACTCCACATCATTTATAAATATTTGAAGCTCTGATCAAATTGTCAAGACTGCGGCGACAGTATTCACATCCAGTGTAGTTATCCTCGACATGACTTAGGGAAAGCTCAATTTCTATCAGGACAATCGGTTCCCATTTGTGCGCAGATCATGATTCTCACCATTTCGAGTTAGAAAGACTGTCAAGAGCGGATAACGAGCGAGCAAATCTCTCCGGCTGGATCTCCAAGGCACAGGTACTCGTGAAGATTTGACAGCACGTATATTACTAGCAGAAAGACGACGTACATAGTAATTAATAGAAGTTGAAGCCATATAATTGATCAATTACGGATGTTCAAAATCCACAGAATTTTGGTGATGGCAGCGGGTGCCGTTTTACCATCTCTCTCGGATGGTCCCATTCTAACACAACCTAAAGATGCCTCATCCGGCGTTGAAAGCAGCAGGATTCATGATGTTACGAGAGCTGCTGCTGCTAAACCTTCCCTCAAGCAACGACTACAACACACCGATCCTGCAAGCTATCTGGTCCTTTGTCATGCGATTTATTTTCCCAATAAGTAAAGGGCACTCGAGGTGGCCTTGGATCGCGGAGTCGGGGAGCGAACATGGCTGGGTCAAGGTTTCAAAGTAAGCTCAGAAAGATTCGAGGCGATGTCGATGATAACCATATTCTGAATCTGAAAAAGCTCGCTGAATAGGCTCGCTGGATAGATCCAGAGGTCGCTTGATAAGATTGATGAATAATGACTATACTTTATTTAAAATTTTTGGAAAATTTCAAAGAGTCCATGAAATTTCCTAAATCGCCAACTCAGTGACCCCTGAACAGAGCGAGTTAAAAGAGGCTTTGTGAAAGATTGTCTTGAGGTCATCTAGGTTTTATGAAAGTGGGGAAATGTCTTCTAGATTTTCTTAGTTTCGCTTCTCTTGATATCAAACTAATGTATCCCGAATTAAGTGTTGAGCACTAATTTTACTAGAATATTGTAGAAGTTTCTCGAGCGTTAGAATTTTTACAAATAGTCATTTTTTAATGACCAATCATCATGATTCTTATGATTGAAATGTTATACGCGAGAATAGAAAAGCTTTAGAAGGACTCAGAAACTTTCATTCAACTTGGCTGCGTGGTATCAAGGATCTCAAGACCTGGAGGGGAAAAAGAGAAAGAAGAAGAAGCTAAAGTACATCCCAGGTTTTTAATGTGGTGCGCGTGGTTAACGGTATCTTCCTTAGTGCGCGTGGTTGACGGTATCTCCCCTCCGATATGGATTTCTTCTGCAGAAGAAATCCAAGTTCGCAGTCCAAGTCCGCTAACTCCCGTCAACTCGTAACAGTATGCGTGACACACGTGGTGGGTGTCCCTGCCCTCCGAGACTGATTTCTTCTGCAGAAGAAATCTAAGTCCGTAGTTCTCCCATGTCCTCAACATGAAATATCTTCAGCTATCAAATGGCTAATCCATCAGGGAGTTTCCTAGCAATTTCCATTAGTCTAAAGAAGCTAATCAAATCAGATTAAACTTTCTGGAGTTCTGTAACTATATTTTATTAAAAATGACGCACAACTTTCTATAATCTTCTACATTCTATTGCTTAGATATCATATATCTCATGGCATAGTCATAGGAAATGTAAATCAAAAAAGATCTTATAGAAATAATTCGAGAAAGATTGTCTTTCTAATGAATTAGTACTCTTTCAGTATTTTGAGCTGATTAGAAACTTTAACTCATGGGCTAGTATACATGCAGGTAATGAAAAATGCTGTTGAATGTTGTGAACACGCAGGACAGGATGAGAGGGAGGACAGGACATGACCACGCCTGCCACGCGCGTACCACCACCTCAAAACATTGGACTTTACTGTAGCTTCTTCTTCCTTCTCTTTCTCCCCTCCAGCTCTTGTTGAGATCCTTGATACCACGCAGTCAAATTTAAATAAGTTTATGAGTCCTTCTAAATCTCTTCTATCTGGCGTACAACATTGAGTATTCACTTTTCTTTCCTTATATTATACTCCTAGTCTGAAAATCATAAAAGATATCTTGATTTTACTAGGGCAGTTCAAGATGTATTAATAGCCTATTTTTTAACAATATGTAACTCCGCTGACTTGTATCTTCATACACATCAGTAATTGCAAACTAAATTCAGTCTAGAAAGTTTAGATTCTAGAACTAATGAGACCTAAATAAATCTAGACTAGGTTTTCTCACCTTTATAGATCTTACGTGAGCTGAGTACAGCTTCTTACACAAACTCTTCTAGCTAGCTATTCGCTGGGTGCTGGGTTAATGATGTAGGAGAGTTCAGAAAGTTATTAAAAAATTTAATGAAATCAAGTAGTCACTTATCAGTTCTATTCAGCGACCTCTTGATCCGTTCAGCGAGGCTTTTCGCTTTTCCAACACGCTTTTTTGAGTTTTTTCCAATTTAGAAATACGTGATTACCGACACCGTTCGAGGTTTCCGAACCTTCTTAAAAAATTCCACTCGGCGAGGGTTCGCTCCCGACTCCCCAGAAGCATCTTTGCACTTTCAGACTTGATCTGTGACACCTCTCATGTACTAACTGCCTCGCCCGTAAAACATTGAGAAGGCCCAGGCAGCGAAGAAGCGCAACAATGAAGGGATCCAGTGACACTGCGGCCACAGAAAAATCAATCAAAATCAAGGGAGACCGATAGCGAAAAAGTGTCAAATATAGGTTGAAACTGCATGACCGTCAGGGTGACAATACTCGGACTCCACTGTTCGGGGATACGGAGAACCTTCCGCCCGTCTTTATTTGATCAAATAAAATCAACGTCTTTCCAAAATGGTGTTGTTTGCTGCTATGAGTACGGTAATTCAAAGAAGTACTATGACCCACCAATACCTGTGATGCTTTGGCGAACGTTAGTAATTGCGCCTATTTCATTAGGTCTTTAATCTAGTCATCAGCAGTATCTGCTACAAAATTCTGCTTCTCTTGCTACTCTATCAAGAGAATATCATTGACGTGGCTATTAGACACAAATATAGAGGATTTCCATTTTCGTTGGTTTATTCTATTATATGATCGGTGTTTGTTGGCAGAGTCAACTCCAATCGACGTGTTCAGTTGATTGACTGGAAGCCGATATCTCTTAATTAGAATAACAGACTATCAATCCTGATCGTTCAATATACTACAATCATAACACTTTTGAACTGAGCCTATGAAAGTGTACACCAAAACCCGGCACACAGCTCCATTTCGACTCCTCATGTATACTTTCCGGACTTCCTGAACCTTGCTTCAGGCAGCTATCCTCTTTCTCTTTTCTATATCACTGTGCGACCGCAAAGAAGTGTTATCGCAAATATTTACCATATCTGCAATGTCAGCTCGACGCTGGCGTGAACACTATATAACATACCTTACTGAACCTCCTCGAGACATAATGCAGCCTTCAAGATCTACAGAGGTACGCAAATAACCAAGCCATGGTGTCGAGCGCGAAGATGACAATGAATTTCGTAACATTTACCAAATTATACTAAATAACACGATTGAAGTGAGCGCTAAGTTTTTCGTTAGAGACGGTTGTCTTTACGGACAATCGAAGCGATTGTACGTATATAGTAATCAATTATAAGACCCAGGCCCCTGGGGTTCGTTTTCTTTCGCAGACATTACAAAAGTAGTACAAGAACCGAAGGTCTGTCATCTAGTCCAGCCACAGCCCTCAAAACGACAACAGCCCCAGAAATACGTTGGCTGGGGTCTCCGCGAGCGAAGGGTGCACTGCCCGCGAACATGACCCGACCCATGAGAAGTATGTTGCCGCGGTATAGAGAATCGTGTTCTCTGAACTTCGTCCACTCGCTAACGTCAAGATCATGATAGTTCAAGAAAGTTTCGGTTCTATGGGCTATGTGAATCAGAACGGTGCTCAACCATATGCGGCGCTTTCTCACCCTGACTATATTCGAACGGGAACAACATGCGCTTCGCGGTCAAAGATTCCTTTTCGGGTAGACCATGGTCCCGCCATCCTCACCAAGACAGCGCAATTGACAAAACAACATGAGCGACCGTCTTATAAGCAGCAACGCAAGATTGCCTCCAGCGTCTGACACAAAAAATGCGGGACCAAATTCTCGAAGCCTCACCCAAATACCAAAAATATCACCCATACTCCCAATGTATGATCACAGATACGTATGGTCGGGTTCTCCAACAGGCGATCGCTATATACCAAAATTGATGATTCGGTTCTTGGAAAGGTTACCGCAGTTTTCGAGAGCGCAATTAATGAAAATATGCTCTGAAAAGAGATCACTAAACTGATGCGATCAATTTCTCCCCATAATTCCCCATTATATCATGCTAAAAAAATCACAGGTCACATAGGGGGGCCACACTGTGCATGAAGCGCGAAGACCTCGAGTATTTTGGTTCTCACAAAGCCTGCAAGACTATCGGGCAGCTCTCCCGTGCCAAGAGGATAGGCTGTAAAGAAGTCGTGACGGACTGTGCTTCGACTAAACATGGGAACCCCACCGCTGTAATATGCGCGTGTCTCCATTTAAAGTGCGTTGTGGTTATGGTTGCCGATGACGCTGAAAAACAAAAGAAGGGATTCATGAGATAGAAAAGCTCGGTGCCATAGTCCTGAAGGCGCGATGTCTGCATGGCGCTGCCACGCTACGCACTGCAATCGCCGAGGCTTTTCGATATGTGGCTCTGTACTATAATACGGCGTACTACTTGATGGGGGGCGCTTCAGGCCCCCATCCTACTCCTGGAACGACAGCGACCTTCCAACAGTATTTTTGTGCCAAAGTTGCGAAACAATTCAAATTTGAGTATGAAAACGTCAGATCCGGCTTGGATTGCAGTCATGCAGCGATCAAAGCAATGGAGATAGCCAAAGAATTGGCCCCGGGGAAACATGTCATTCTTTTGGTTACCGGTGATGATGCAATTGACACAGACTAATTGTCTTTGGCTCAGACTTTCCGAGATAATTGGCTGGAAAAATGGACATTTATTCGTCTTTCGATCTCCCGAGTTTGTGATATTTGCATAAAGCGTAGAAATGTCTCAAAATGCTGCATCTTCATCTGACACTTCCAAGATAATTCGTGATGGTCCGGGGTACTTACTTTATATGACCAAACTGCTCGCAGCAAAATCTCAAACAGATGGCCTTGATGGTGCCCCGAGGATAGCTATCAAGTCGTCCCTGATCCACAGTTTGGTCGCCTAGGATCTTCCTACCAAGAGTGTTCCGGGCTTTGTTTGTTCAACACAGGGGTATTCAAGTTCGAAATCTCAGAGACACCGAAATCGTCTACAAGCTCTGGCTGATAAGTCATCCAGTTGAGAATTTGGGGAACTTCTGGATAATATGCTCCTTTCAAGAGTTACTGTATACCATCAAAGGCTATGGGGTGATTTTCAGGCCCAGCCACCGAATCGGTCGAAATCAGATGCTAGTTAGTTTTGATACTACTATGCGAGATCTCGAAGTCCACTGACCCTACCATAATCCTGGACTTGCTCAATAAGTCAAACTTCGTTGACAGACTAACAGTCATACATTATCTACAAATGTGAATACGGGGGTAGTCTCCATCCCAATGATGTCCTATTAGAGAGAAATATCTATATTGTAGGGAAGTGCTCAGAGTTCAAGCTGGATAATGTGCGAGATCAAAAATGTCGAAAGGGTTTGCAAACGAGTGGCAAAGATAACGGTATTTTCTGTAATATGGTAATAGAGAGACTTACTTAGTCTCGCTATAGAGGCTACTTATCCCGAGCACCGCGCAAAGGTGCAAGTCATGTTCGAGTGACGTACACAGGACCCGTAGGTCTGGGTTCGATGGAAATTTAAACAGCATAACAATGGAATGCAATAAGAAGGGCATGGCTGTGGTATGGAGCTACAGCAATGAGCCTTGAATAGCCCACAAGTGAGACTTACGGACCGTCGACATTGAAGTGTAGCTTTGCAGAGATACGACTACGGCTGCTATCAACATAAATTGGAGCAAGTAAGGAACTATTTGAAAACTACCACGTGTGCTGAATATAGTTACATTGGCATTCCGAAGACAATTTCCAGTCAAATTAACAAATCAATATGAAACAGAGCTAAATCCGGCAGACTATGATTAGAGGGAGCGAAGATGGGTTCCTAGATAGGGCTAGAGCTATTAGCCCGAATCCAAAAGAAAAACTGTGGAATCAGTCAGCAAATTACGCGTTACGAATATCGAACAGGTACTTTCTTGACAAGTGAAATGCCCGAGAATGACCCAAATGTCAGCTACGGTGCTTTCAATTTGTGTGTAGATCAAAGTTGGACGATTGTCCGTGACAACTTCCTTTTCGATCAATTGGCTCTCTCTTTAGCTGGTACGTGCATTAATCTGAAGAATCACCCTCCACGCGCGAGAATACGATTTGCTGAAGTACAGTGCTCTGTGGCGGTGAACAGAAAGTCATTCCCTCTTCAGAATGGAAAGCAAAAGTACTTCTCTGATTCTCGAAGATCTATCTAGCTATAGCTAGCGTGGCCTATCTGTAGGGAGCACTAGGGCCACAGATTTACAGAATCATCTTTCAAATTAAATTCATAGACTATATGTAAGCTACAGAGCGAAAAAAAGATGTATACAGTATCCCTAATATAACCTCGAAAATTGGTGGATTCGGTCTCAGTAACTGTGTTACCTGTGCGTCCCCAACGCAAGCCCACAAGCCCGCGATCTCTTTCTTCAGATTCGGCAATTTCAGCGGGTCGTGGAAGGGAGAGCTCGAATCTCTCGCCACGTGCTAAGTGCAATTGTTCTCAACCTAATGCTGTACCGTATATGAACGAGTGTCCTTAGACTGTTCACCTCGCTAGGATCGAAATAGCAAGGTCAATTTTTGGATTCATTACGTTTATTGTTTCGAAAGTGTTTGACTTCCAAAATAAAATACGGGTCTGCCTTTGCTTTCCGACTCAACACTTCAAATTCTCGGAGTCCGCGATCTAGTTTCTACCCGTCCTCCATGAATAAATCACCGACACTACGAGAATACTTCTAGAACTTTGACTTCTTGAAATCCTTCAAAGTCTTAAGGAAGTATATGATATTATTATACAGATAAAAGTGTTGTGGTAAGGAGAACTCCCTAGTGAGTTTTGGTGTTCACCGTCGGGAAATCGGTAGGCGGTAAGGAGTAGCAAAAAGGGTCCAGCCTCTTGATTGATACAACATCAAAACAAAATAACAAACCCTAGAAAAGCCAGATTTCAGGCATCCTGATTGCGGCCAGTGACATTTCTTGATAGATTTGGTATTTCGAGCTAATGCCACTGGTGGATTCGGTGGCTGCGTAGCTTAGTGATGAGATACGGCTACGGTAGGGGCAGCAGTATCGACGTGTGAGAGGGATGAGGAGTGAGATTGCTGAGGGGGAGAGATTCTACCTAAGCTATGGACTGTGGTGAGTGGCAGAATCACATGTCATGCAAACACTTAGTCTGTCTTTCATCATAGGTAGGCTTCGTAGGGGTTTGGGCTAAATAGGTGAATGTTTCGCAAAATCAAAGAGATTTGTTACGTCCGTTTGGACAGGATAGAGTGACCTTCTTGCTAGGCCCTTCTCCCAGATACGTTAAGCTCAAGAGGTCCATAGTGGCTGAATCGATGTTGAGATACATTAGAGATATGTATAGTCTGTGCGTAACGTTTGATAGGAATAAGATCCGTTTTTTAAGTCAGAGGTCGATATAAAGATGATATACCAGGGCTCTGTTGCTAGTAATAAAGCTTCCTTTCCTACTAAGCGCCGTGAGGCACCCGGTGGGCCTAAATCCTGATTTTGCTTGGGCTGATAATAGAATCGAAAGTCTTAGCTGATTCCGTGGACATGTGGACATGCTGTATTTCTTGCTCGTATCTTGATTGAGAGGCGGAGCTGGTGAGAGAAGAGATCTGAAATTTTCCTCAATCTTCGTCCTCCTCCAGTAGTATTTCATTACCATCGGCAGACCTTTAACTCGACGTAATAGGACTGAGGTCTGTATAATATGAGGAGCGGAAGACACGTGTGGAGTGTCCGAGATGTTGCCAACAAGGTGCTGTGCAGGCTTTTGAAATATGGGGACCATATGCGTTCTGCCATTTCGTGGGAATGGTTGACCTTGAGTGGCTCTCCGACGGGGGCTGCGCTTCAAAGGCGGATATCCGGCTAATTTGAGGAGGAAGGGGAATATAAATTCCGGCTGGTGTTGACCATTAGCTAGGTCAATGAGCCGACCATCTTCCGAAACCGTTGAACTTCCTAAAGTGAGGCCTTTGAATCGTCTTTGCTGGCCAGGGCCCGGGACATCTAACTAAAAGGTGTCAGAACTCAGACGGTTGAACTTGAAGGTGCATATCGACTGGTAATTCCATAGATGACTGACGGGACTGGCTGCACGCCCTTCTCCTCAGATGCTTTATGAACCTTTACTGCAGGATAGCAGGTAGGTGTGTCCCTTGCTAAAGCCCCTAACTGCAGAGTGAAATATGTTCACGTATCACGAATTAACAAGTCCGTATCGCTGTCAAAAAGTGGTCTTGTCTTGAGATACCATTGGCTAAACGACATATTCGATTCAAAGTAGCTTTACACTTGGTTTGTCCATGTCCTCATACACAGCAAGGCCTTACGCATCTATACAGATAAATGTAGAAGTGAGGAATTAGCACGTACGGCTCAAGCACCACGCACTATGAACGGTGCCCATCAGCCAAATTGTTCAATTGTCTAGGAGTACCGAGCAATTCCACATATTCCTTCTCTGAAGGCTAATAACTTGTAACATTTGGCATACAACATACAAAGCGGAGCAAAGCCTGCGAAAGAAGTGATTGGATCGCCAAGTTTCATCGGAGCCTAGTTAGCAGCATTTGCACGCCGAATCCGGTACTGTGGAAGTTTTGCTTTCAGTGTTGATAACCGTGCTGCGTGGTGGCTGATCTGTAGGCAGCACTGGGATTGAAGTCAGAAGCATAGTGCTCAACGTGGCCCTAGGGGTTTCTGCTAGGGTTGAAGAAACCTTTGAGGTTACCCTGGTCAACTGGCACTG